CTGCTTGGACTATTACAGTTACAAACATATTAATTTACCAAAGCCAAGCTATACATTACCCAAGTGCTGACAAGTCAAATAAACTTTAGGAACGAATCTTAAGATGTACAACAACGTTTCATAAATATGCACATAAATTGCAAAAGGAAAATGTCTTGGAAAATATAAAAAAAAAAAGAGAAAACAAAAGCATAGTGGACTGGCATTAAAAACCAATTTGACCAACACTGAAAGACATCCAACAGATATTTCGTAACTCAAAGCGTATTCAATTTAGGTTGGAGAAAGGGCGGAAAACCGAAATTTGTCATGTGCTTAGGCGAAAGTGAAAACCATTCGGAAAAAGCAGCACGTTCGCATTGTGTGTGATTTGCATTCGCCAGCAAGTTGGTGTTGGTGTTGGTGTTTGCCTGAGTGTGAGTCTTGTGTCAGTATTGTGTAAGTGTGTGTTTGTGATTCATTCTGAGAGCAATTTGGTTGGACAACCAGGCAGTTGGCAGCTGTGTTGTGTAACTTTATAGCACCTCAACGTTTGTTGTCACTTTTTCACACAGTAAAATCGGTTATTTTTCTCAAGCTCTCTCATTTCTGCTTCAGCAAATCGAAATCTAAACAAGTTAGAATGATCTAGTCGAGAGAGCTCGACTTGGAGATACCCTGAACTCAGCTGTGAATTACATGGTAGGCTTGACGACATTATTACAATTGATGAATAATTTATCAAATTATTTTAAGTGTAAGCTAGAAGATTTTAGCTTAACAAGAATGTCTTTTATTGCCATCGGGAATCGATTTGTATCGGATGCAGTTATCGATAAAATAACGTGAACTTTATCTGCTTATGGCAAATGAGAATTGTATTCCACATTTGTACTCTATAACTCCATAGTCTCTGAGATCAGCTTATTTATATAAACAAATAGAAGATCACGCCAAAATCACTTCTTTGGCTGCTGGTGACCAAGAATATACATATTTTATGAAAATATATATGCTTTCTTCTGCCGATTGCAAACTTTCGCACAGCTTCATTATACTCTTTTTCCAATTTGACTTAAGGGTACAGAAAAACAACGCTGACCAAAGTAGACCAGGTCCAAAAGTTATTTCTCTGCAGCTATTTCCCTTGTCATTTAATGGTGTTGATTCGGCTGCTGCTGTTGCTGCAGACGCATGTTTTGGCCATTCATTTTCAGTAAAATGACAGAAAATTAAGTGTCCGGTTCAACTTTTGCTTTTCATTGTGTATTGATAATAATGACTGTATATATATATATATATATATATTTATGTATATATATGAAACTGTGGACACATTAATTTTTATCTGAAAACGACAGCTGCTTGTTATTGAAACCAACAGAGTGCGGCAGCACAAAATATTACGCATAAATTTCTAAATAATTGACATATTCGTCTCAATTTACCATTTTCATTTTATTTTAGTTCACTTTTGTTTTCAGTGCGCACCCTAACAGAAACCAATGGCTATCAAAAGAATATCTTTAATTTGCTCACAATACTCATAAATTAAAGAGAGGATTTATGCCAAATAAAATTTCTACCTCTTTAATCCTTAAATGGTATTTTGAGTGCAGCAGCAAAAGTTGAAGGAAATATATGTTCCCTATGCGAAGCAATTTTAGAGACAATTGTAAATTTTTTGCTTAGTAAAGTATTTACTTTCATTAATTTTTAAAAAAGATTCGCAAAAGTCAAACTAATAACTATTGTATTATTATTAAATTATTTACTTTCTTTCGCATATTTTGCCAAAATTTGACAAATAAAAGAAAAAGATTATTCAAAAATCACTTTCAACTATTTTTACATTACTGTTTGGCAAACTTTAAGATTAAAAAATATTTGTGTAGACATATGGAGTAACCTTTAACAAAATTATTAACATTTGAATAAATATGCAATGTCGTCGCTGCTGTTGTCGTGTTATGAGGACTCGTCACAGAGAAGGAAAAAAATGAAATGAATGACAAAAGCACTGCTTAAGGATAAGCCAACGGCAATGTGGGCCCTCGACAATCCAAGGAGCGTACAAATGTCAAATATTTGCTGAGCTGTGATTAATGTTGATTCTACGCACACTTCTTGCCCTTTGCATGGGATCTTTGCCTGCTTAGGACAATTTACCTGTAATAGCAAGGAAACGACACCGGAAACTCATTTTCTTTGCACAAAGACACAGATAACAAAACATAAAGAAAACGAAAACGAAAAGCAGAAAACTCTCGATTGCTTGGCATTTATTTCATTTTGCTTGGCATTTGTATGGCAATTAATTAAATTGATTGAATGCTTAACAATTTACCCAGCCATGAAAGAAAGTGCCAGCAAATCTCCAAGCAAAAAAAAAACAATAAGACCAAACGACACCATCAACTCGATTCCCCATCGACTAGAGTGCACTTAGTGGACGGCAAACTGGACGATTCGAGTAAATGCCCGAACTACTCGGACTGGTCACGTTGTGTCAACAGACATCCCAAATGCACTTTGATGCCCAAATTGTTGCAGTTCCTGCCATAAGTTGCAGCATGGTTCCCAGAAAATATATACCAGTTGCGAGGCACAGCTCCTGCTCCTGTGTGGCGCTAAAAGTTCTTAAAGCAGGCTTTCGCTTATACAAATATTAAATATCGATTTTAGGTACTAGCTTTCAATCAAAATCATTTTAGAATTTTTTATTTGAAAACAAAAATATAGCTTCAGAATAATATTAAATATCGTGAATATTTTAAGCACTTTATTTATTAGTGGTTACTTACAGTGTAAACATAAATCAGCTTTGTTATTTAGAAGTATTAATAGTTCAATTTTCAGATTAATTGGAAAGTGCTGAAGTAATGTGAAAAGAGAAGCTAGTTTATGTAGGGGTAGTCTAGTCTGGCATGTTTTCAATGCTTAAGGTGGGCAGTTTGCCAGGACTTGTAGATATGACGTGAGTTGCTCTGAATGAAACCCAACTTTTAAATACATAGTTGCCTTTTTGATAGTAATTTCTTCAATACCGAAATACGTTTTATCAAGCAATATCTGTGTTTTTTATCCGGTCTCAATGACGTTTTAAAAGTTTTAAAAGTTGTTCATTAAGATTACAGAGTATCATTTTATAATTGTGTCTTTTAATGACATCGGATACTGAATCGAATCGATATTCGCGAAACAAGGACAGTTATCGATAAAATGAAATAATTGTATACGAGTATTATTTTCAACATTTTAAGTATATAGCCCCTTAGATCGTTTTTTTTTTTTATAGGGATGAACGGATTGACATAGCTATTATACCAACTCGGCTGCTTAATCAAATCGAGAATTTCCACAGTTTTTGGGGTGGAACATGCACCCTTTTATCTGTTACATACCTTCTTCATTACCTTTTTCCTTTATCCATCCACATACACTTTGCACCACAGGCTATAAACCACAAGTGACATGTGTTTTCATAACTCAATGCATTCAACATTTTCACACAACAATTATATGTGTTTTCATAACCCACAAATCCATTACTTATACGCATAGTTGCACAACAACGCAATGTAATCGACATTGTGTTTTATATTTATGTGTCAAAATACATAAAAGAAGAAAAATATGATAGGAAAAAATGGCAAATCATTGCCTAATCAGATCAGGCAGCCCCCTTGAGTGGGGTGGCTCAACTGATTGCATCCGTTGCTCCTGTTGCCAGAGTTTTAAATTCAATTTCGCAGAAAATTGTATGTGCCTAAACGTATTTCAAACGTTTTTCAATTTATTTCGTCTGCCAAAATAATGAAGGCAGCACCAGAAGAGCCAGAGACAGCCTGGTCAGCCCTGTTCAGGGCGCAAACTCAAATCAAGCCAACAAATGAGCGCCCACAAAAAGTGAGCATCAGCCAGCAAGAAAAATTGGAAAAATAAAGGTCAAAAAGGTACCAAATAACTTTAAGCTTACGCTGGCCCTTGGCCAGCTTCTACCACCAACAACAGACTAGCCCTCATTATCAATGCCAATACAAAATCGAATATATATTTTTTTTCGTTGAAAAGGCAACGGACAGGGACCTTTTTATGGCCGGCTGTGAGGATATTTTTGGGGTATGAGGCTTGATTATTGATTGAGCTTTGTTGTGCGTTGCGTTTCACTATATTTATACACAGACACACAGACACACACACTCACGCACATCCACTCATAAGGACACACATTGAGTTTAATGCTTTGATTAAACCTGATTGAATTGTCTATTGTGATTTGGACGATTTGACTGTCTGACAAGACTCGTAAATAACTCACAGCAGACATAATTTAATGCATGTTAAACTTAACTTATGCGCTTAAGCTTCATTAGTAGCAAAATATCTAAACAGAAAATCAATAAATTTTAAGTTTATTTGAAATTTTTACATTTTTAAGGCAGAAGCTAATAGATTTGCATTATTAGAGACTAGGATGAATATTCAATTTTTAAGCTAATAACTATATGACCTCTATTCCATATCATTCTAAGCAACTTGGCTTATATTCTCTGATTATTCAACAGTCGGCAGCTTTCAACAACAACGTGCTTACTGTACTAAGCAAGGTTGCTTTCATTATACATATTAGACAATCTGCTGAACCCATCAAAGCCTACCTGAATTAACTATCAGCAAGCTTAAGCATTTAATTTGTTTAAGTCCAGCAAACAGAACAACAACTGTTGAGCGTTAGTTAGTATTTGGCTTTGTATTTGCGCAGCTTTCAGACAAATCAGACAAAAGGTAAACCGAAATAAGAACAAATGTTGGTTCAGCCCACAAAAGAGCACAAAATTAAATGGTTAACACTGGCGGTAAAGTCCTTATATCTAAATATACATATATATATATAAATATATACATAGATAGGCAATAGGGCTAAGTGGGGTGTTCTTTTATTCTTTTTTTTTTTTTTTGTTCTTTAAGCTAACTTAAAGCTTTGCTTTTTTTAACATTTGCCATATCTTGCTTTACAGATCTCGAGCAATTTTCTGCCATCATTCGAGGCAATTTCCCTGGCCGTGCGGAGCATCGCCAGCAAGTTAAATTGGACGGAGGTTGACATCTATGTAGGCGGTAAGTGAACGCTTATTTCCCGATTAAATAGCTGATAATTTCAACGATTTGCAGTCGCAATGCGACCAAACTGTCATCATTTAATTTGCATTAAATTGCTTCAGATTCTCAACGCCTGTCAGCGCACCAAAAATAAAAACAACAATAATAAAACAAGGTGATGAAATGTAAATTGAATTTAAGAATATTCATTTCCGCTAATGAATGACTTTAAGCTTACAGTTGAAGTGTTCTATTAGATCTATTATTATATCTATATATATATAGCATATATATTTAAGAGGACTGGGAATTACTCTGAGCACAATAGATAAATAGGTTCAGGGTATCTCGTAGTCCAACTCCCTTGAATAGAAAGTTTCTTCCACTTTCTAAACTTGTAAACGGTATTTTAATTTTGATTTCAGATTTACTAGTCGATCCAAGTCTAGCCACGTCCTAATTATCTGACTTATATGCGCAGAATTATATTATATATCCTGTATCACAATATCATATAGTTGCCATAGGAATAATTAGTCGAAAGATGAGTTTGAAGTCACAAGTTTACTCCTATCTCGATCAAGAATGTGTCTTTATATTTGGCAAAATTGTAGACCGAAGTTAATGACATACATAGCACCCCCTTGCTGAAGCAATATAATTACACATAATAAGTAATTACTTCAATTCCAGACCCCAAGCTGGAATCGTTAAAAGTTAACCTTATTTTCATTCTGCAATAGCTCTGACATTTGCAAGCACCATACTGAGAAGAGTTTTATAAATTGCAGAATTCTAGCTTAACATATTAATTAAAAACAATATAAGTCTTTGGCAAGTTGACTGTGCAGCCATATCGCCGTTTACAGCCTGCAATCGGCAGACGCTTAACATAGTTATTATCCTTAAACAGGCAAAGTTGCCTGCATTACATTAAGTATGCCCATGAAGGCACTAGGACACTGCAATGGCCCTCCAAGGGGGCCCACCTAATGCCGAATTATGGTATGGTTATTAAGACAACAGACGAGCTGTGCCAGCAAACCAGACGAAGTACACGTGTGCGTATACGCAATGCAATTAGTGGTGACATTATTATGATTAACGTTGAGCTCCAGTCAAGCGTGTATCCTGTCTGTGTATGTGTGTGTGTGTAGGCGTATCTATGTAACCAAAATGTGTGTGAGCACAAATGTTGACAGTTGGGTAGACAAACACACAGAGCTACAATTAGACTGTGACGCGGCTGCATTTGAAATTTAATTAGGTGGCAAGAGCTAATCGCATGTCCAACAGCAGACAGCAAATAGCTGCAGTCAAGGCCACGAACTGACTGCATTTTGAAGCAAGTATCAGATGCTTAATTAATTTAAATCACTAACGAACAGATGTTGCAGTGAGCAATCAATTAAAGACTTCGAGGCAAAAGGCACAGAAAGCGTAGCTCTCTTAATTAATTAGTCAGACATCAGCAAATGTTTATGGCAAGCAAACAAACCGACAAATGACCGATATTTTTTTTTTTTGGAATGGGCAAGAGTCGAGTTCAGTGTGTCACTTGTTTACACAGTATTTGCCCTTATCTACATACAAATGAGGAGCCATATGTGTATTGAGTAAACTAGTTGCTTAAGCTGTTGTCTGATCTCAAGCGTTTGACATTTCTGAACTCAGTTCGTTGACCCTATCGGCGAAAAATAAGAAAATTTGTAAATTATGTGACAGTCGTTGAGAAATTGGATAAAAACAAAGTTATAAAATAAGCAAAATGGCAACCGGCAACTGGCAGCAAGCAAAGCCAAGATGTGCGCACAGCAGTCATAAAAAAAAAAAAAAACACTAAAAACAAAACGGAAAATGTCAGGAAAAAATGTAAATTTGGCAGCCAAGCAGGCGAGCGATAATAGGACCCACATCCAAACGTCATAACTACACATAAAAACAGCGACAGTAAGGGTATAAAACAGGGATAGTAGTCACCGTAGCAGACAACGCATAAAATTTCCCAGGCAGCAGTTAAGCTGCTGCAAACCACCGCAGAACGCATAATAAAACTCGGCAAATAAACGTAAATCGCCCGACAAAAAAAAAAAATCGTAAGTCATTAACTAATTAACTGAAAACAATGGGTGAGCAAAATGTGTGTGTGAGCAAAGACAAATGACAAATTAGCTTTCATATTTTAGTCTTTACGAATATCGACAGAGACACAGTGTAAAGTTTTAGAAAACATTGAATTTAATTAAATTTGTGTCGAGTTTATTACCATTCAAGTACATACTTGGTTATGAGTACCTTCAATATGTGTTCGAAGCGACCCTTTTTCCGCGATGGAAAATCGATTTTCATTTCTACAGCCAACACTTTGATATGATGACTTGCCCTGATGCTCCTGATCAAGAATAAATATACTTTATCGAACGCTTTTGAAATTTCAAGACAAAATTATAATAACTTCTGCAAGGATATGTGGCTATAAAAAATACTCCAAATTCTAACCCGATTATCTTTGTAACGTAATTTATATTATTAGATAACTTTTGCAAGCTTTCTTAGTATATAGGAAGTATTAGCATATTTTTGTAAATTATTTTAAAAATACGCACAAATTTTGAAAATTATATCTAATTATTGAAAATAATGTTTCATCATAGAAAGTTTAAAAGGTGTCTTCAATATATCCCATTCATATAGATTTTATATAAATCACATACAGAACTTCTCAGTTTGCTTTACGTGAGTCAGTCCAGTTCCTCAAAAGAACACAAAGCTGTCCGATAAAGAAGTGAGAGCTAAGGTCCTGATGGCCACTAAGTTTGGCAAACGCAGGCCACATATACACCCACATCCACAAACACACAGACACACACACACACATACACACACACATACACACACACACACAGACACACACACACACATACACACACACATACACACACACACACACACACTATCCGCTAATTTATGCGCCGACACATACACAAATACTTACATAAATAGCGAATAACAGAACCGAACCGAACTGAACCGAACCAAAGTGAACAGCAATTCTTATGTGGGATGTGCGTGCGCATTTTGGACAAACATTTTTATGAATAATGTGGCAACATGTTCGTCCAGAAATGGCCCATAAACACGACTGGTGAGCAGACAGAGGACATAAGAGATGCCAGGCTCAAGGCATAGATTTCATTTGTGGCACTGATATTAATCTCGAGTGTTCAACAATTAATGTTGGCTGTTTTTGGCTCAGAAACGTGGCAGGCAAAGCGCCTTAATTTGGCTTAGCAATATCATTTAGAGCTGCTTTTTATGACAGCGTAATTAGCTCGAGTTGTTCGCCAATTGCTTGTCATGGCCGAAACACAATTTTATTTATGATTTGTTTTACGCTAAGTGACAGCTAATGGACTTGCCGGCCATAAAAGGTGGCCAAGTATTGAAGGGCAACCAAGCAGCCATATGCCAGAATTGATTGCGCCAGTTATGTGCTGATTGGTTTGACTTTGAATTTGACTTTCACGTTGAGTTTGACTTTCACTTAAATTACGTTCAGTTGCCAGATCATCAGCGCAATATTGAATTTCCTCAGTACACAATCGCTTTTACTTGGCAAGTGTCCATATATATATATATGTATATACATATATAACAATAACCAAACAACAACAATGGACAACGACTCAATCAGTGGAGCTATGAGCACGAAACTTTTGCGCCAAGATTATATCTCATGAATAATGTAAATTGCAAGTAAATGGCGACAGATGCAATTTAAACTTTAATTGCATTTCAATAGATTGCGTAAAAGTTTTCTTTCAAAAGTGAAAAAAACTCAACACAGCAATTTACATACATATCTCCGCCAAAAACTGTGCTGCAGATTCTGCCAAGCACACACATATAATAAACATAATAATCTCTTGCATAATTATCGTCAAGTTTTTATGCAGCATGTCGCCCACTGATAAGCACCAGACACCATCAAGTTTATGGTTACTGCATCATTTTTGTACCCTACCCACTTAAATAAAAAAAGGCTTTGGATTTTATAACTTGCGACAGCTCCCATTTAATACTCTCATATGAACTATTTTAGCTAATTACAGTTGTAATTGCTTTGGACAGCACTCAAACTTCTAAATGTTCCCCTGGGGGTAATTGCTGCAACAAAACCAACTTCAACTTTAATTATTTTATTGTTATCTTGGGCGGAAAACATTGCATCTTAATCATCATCAATTATGCGAAAACTTACAAACTAGGCAAGAAATTACTTCAAACCGATGTCAGTATAATACTGGAATTAAATCTGCTTATGAAGTATAAATATATAAATGTTTTTTGGTGTACTTTTAGTGAATTGCTTTAAATTTCTACTTTTTAGAATCTGTCAAAATTTGTTGCTCCCATTTTTTTCAATAAAACTATATTGCTGTAATTTTAAATACATCTGTCTTTTTTCTTCAATCAATAATCATATTGTCTCCGATCTACAGGGATCTACAATCTTCGGCTTACCTCAGCTAGCATTTTATTTTATTCTTATATAAATATATTTGTCGCCTATCTTTCGACCTTGGATGTGCCTTTTGCCACTCGTTAAGTGAATTATAATTTAATTTTAATGTCTCTCCCCCCTCGTAACTTTAACCGTGAAATTATGATTTAAAAATTGGCTGTCGGATTTGGATTTCAGTTTAGTTCTGAAGTGTTTCTGATGAAACTTCAGCATGTGGCATGTGCTGCTTCCGTATGTAAGTTCATAAACTTGGGGCAAAGTTTATGGTGACACTTCATCGCAAACGGGTACTTGCAAAATGTTATCAAGGATGTGGAGGTGATAGCACTAAAAAATTTATAATGGTTTTATGGAAATACATGTAACAGGCAGAAGGAATTATCTCCTATCCCATAAAGTATACATATTGATCAGGATCATCAGCCGAGTCGATCCGTCCCGGCGCAGATCAAGTTTGCCCTTTCTCGTTTTTAACAAATGGGTTCAGGGTAAATCGTAGTCGAGCTCGCTCGACTACAGCAATCTTACTTGTTTCTTTTTCATCTTCAGAAAATTAATTCTTTACAGGCAGATAGGCAACTTATCAAATCATTGTGAGTTTAGAAGGTTGTTCTCTGGCAAGGTGCAGTGTTATTCAGTAAACAATGGAAGACTGATAGAATAACTATGTATTGGGTTCCAGGTCACGTCCTAGTCAGGAAGGAAACCCACTCACCTTTCTGGGCCACTTACTGGTCTATGATTGCATAGTTTTATTAGAGATGCAAAGGTGAAGTGGAAAATATTATCAAAATTCTGAAGAAGCTAGTTTGTTAAATTGGTTTTATTCTTAGTTATCCCAATAATGGCAAGAAATGTTGGAATATTTTATATTTTAATACCTCCAGATATATTGTATCTATTTTATTTTCTTTTTACAATTTGTGTTTATTTTATGTAATTTAATTTGTAACTTTAATTTTAAATTTAGTTATGAATTTGTATTTATTAATACAAAATTGAAATTTACAATTTTTTAGTGTACATTAAATAGGTGGCTTTTAAAGAGCAACTAATTATTGACTATTTGAATTCGACAAAAAACTCTTCAAACAATAAAACTTATTCTAGTTATCGTAAAACATTCTAAAGAAGAATATATTTATATAAGAAATATTGGGATACATACATATATTTTTATAATTAGAAAAATATAATGATTCTTTTCCTAATTTCTTTTTGTAGTTGGTATTTAATTGCAACAGTTTAAAAACCCAAAATAATCATAGCCTTAGCTGCATTTATTATTTAAATAGCTATTTTGAACAGAAAAAGCTCGGCCAGCTTATGACTTGCATACCGCAATCCTTTGTGGATGTGTTTAGCCCAGCTCACACACACAAAGACACACGCGCGCAAATCCACACACATAAAACAACCTAGCCAAGGCCAAGGAAAGCCGCTCTGAGGCCAGCGTTGCACATACACATTGCCAAAGGTGCATATTTAGCGCCAGCTGTCTGCACTTTGCATCTGCTTACAGACACACCCACACACACACACACATACATGAGCTCATACATTGGTGTAAATCCCTGTGATATAAGGCATAATGTGTGCCCGCTCACACACATTAGCATTTGTCCTTTTTTCATGTAGTGCATTTAAATATTCATGCGCTGCTCAAAATTTAAATTAAGCCAGCTGGCAGGTGTGTTTATTTGTTTGTGTATGTTTGTGTGTGTGTTTGTCTGTGTGTGTGTGTGTGGGAGAGTGTGGCTACCAAATGCACAAACATTTAATGAAAATGCCTTTTTCAGTTTTAGCATTGTTACGTAGCGTTATTGTGCTTGTTTGTTTGTTAGCCAGCGTATTTGGTCAACCAAGCGATGTTATTTACAATCAAATCAGAAAAAAGGATACAGATAATGTGAGCGGTAAAGGAAAAATATCCAGTGGAAACCCAGTGGATTTTCCGCTGTCCGCACATCAAATTTCAAGCGTACACTGAATGCGACGTGCTGCAATATTACCTGATTTAGTTAGAAAGTTTTGCTTGGTCAAGTGAACATAGCACGTGCAAAACAAAAAAAAAACAGAGAAACATAAACAACAGTTTTATTTTTCTTTTTGTTTTTTGTTTTTTGGCAAATGCATAGCCGCATAAAATAAATGGTCAGTTAGGCAAATAAATTGGGTAGATTGGCCACATGGTCAGTGCCATTTTTTGTTGGCAGCCTTTGTCAATTGCGGATGGGTCAGACACACATCCACAAAAATGCAATCAGAGCATGTCACACGTGGCGTATGCGTCATGCTTTTTGCTGAGAAATGCATTAAGATAGTTGTTGTGTCAGTGTGTGTTTTTGAATAATCGGGTTGCTGGTTGTGTGATGAAAAGACAGAGAACCGGCAATGGCATCCAACGGAAAGTACTGAATAATAACTAGTCAGAGGAAGCAGGTTCGAATACTCGACTACAAGATACCCCATTTAATTCACAGTCTTGCACTACTTGTTTATTTCAATTTTGCCATTTGGAATGGGTTCAGGGTATAAAAACAAATATTAGGCAGCTTAATATCAATAGTTTTAATTAGAATTCGTAATAGTGAAACTCCGTTTTGTAATTTTTGTAAAGCTTTGACGATGATTATGCAACTACAGATAACCAAACACATAACTGCGAAATCATACAAAATTCAACACCTACTCTTTAAAGTGAGAATTGCGCAATTTGTTGATGATTAAAAAATGTCCTTGCCAAGTGCAATGTGACACCAGCTTTGGAATAGGATTGTAATAAACCACAGTGCAAGAAACGAATGCCAAATTGCCTTGTGTCACAATAAAAAACTTTGGGTTGGCAAAAACAAAACTAGAACAACATCTGATACCAAAAATCATGTGCAAAATGCATTTGTCCCAAACTGAGTGGAATATGTTGACAGGAGCGCGAAGCTCTGTTGCCGTATTGCGTAATTGCAGAACTGTGCACATGAGCAAACAGGCGCGGAACAACAAGTTTGCAACTTGCCACACATGGCAATGCACTCACCCTGTGGATGCTCAGCGTAGGTGGAGCATCTGGCCAAAAGTTGTGCAAGTTTTCATCTCACATCTGAGTTAATTAGTCTGTCAGCTGCATTGCTAATTGAGTTAAGGGAAACAGCAACAGCCGAAGCCACAGCAACAGCAGCTGCAACAGCAACAGCAACAGCAACAACAACAACAACAACAAATACAGCAACAACAAGTGGCAAATGGTATTTGTTAAGAAAAATAGCCTGAGGATCTTGAACTCGCATGTCTCACAAACAAAAACAACAACGAGAACACCATCCGCTTGTGCCTGCGCTGAATGAATGTTATAAATATTTTATATAGCTCAGGGAGCCTCTCACTTTGGTCTTGGCAGCTGAGCTGTCAGCCAATTTTGAGCACCGACTTAATTCAATTTTTTTTTTGGTACGCACACAAAACGTTGCCTGCAATTGCGTTAAATGCTTATGAACAGTTCAACGTGAGTATGTGAGTGTGTGTACGTGTGTGTGTGTGTGGTGTATGTGTAATGTCTCATTAACTCTCACATTTTCGCCAGCTCATTGCCAATTAATGTACAACCATAAAATACCCAAATGAGCACCGACACTTGCCTCCAATTGGAATGCGACGCCTCCTTCATGCCCATAAATTATGCACTTTCAGTTTTCCACGAAATCTGCTATTCAGCATGATAATGCAAAGAACTGTTTATCTTTTTGCCTTTTGTGTTTACTTTCTATCTGCATGGGCAGCTACTTAAATTAACTACTTTCGTACTTCCTTTTTTATGGGCAATGATTTTTACAAAACATTTTTATGGTTTGCTAGGAAAGACTTCCAGTATCCTGTTTATATCTGATAAGCAGAGCGGATATTTATAGGCTCGAAAAAAATTCAAATAAATTCCTCGAATAATTAGAAATTTCAAATAAATTGAAAATGCTAAATAGTACAAAAGAATTTTTCTCATTTTAATTCTGAGAATTAAAAAATGTACTTTAAAATGTTGATCTCCTTAAGGGCAGTAAAATGTAGAATTTTTGAACATTTAGATACAGAAATCTATCAGTTGGGGTATTTCTTATGAAAATTAACAAATATTTCACATAGCACAGCAAAAGGGACTAAAGAGGATATGCCAACAATAAATAAGAGTACATCAATAAAGAAAAGGGCATTATTGCCAGTCATTTATATTAAGTAACATTTATTTGGCTTGTACACTTTATTCTTGATACTATCTTGAGCAACATATCACACATCCTAGCCGTGTTAATAAATCCATTTATCAAAACGATGGCAAATCGACCGTAGATTATTAAGCCTGTTAAAAAGTCTCAGAAGGTGGAAAAAAGAGGCATTGGGTCGACCGACTAACCAAAAAATGTTATACTCTTTACTATATTAATTGAAATAAGTTTATAGAATCTTAACTGAAGATTTTAATACTCAGTTAACTCCTGCACACACATCTATTAATATTTTATAAATTAATCGGTAGCTCAAAATTCAAATTGAATATGAATATTGAATGCCATCAAGTTGGCTTGGATATATATTAACAAAAGTGAATATTGAATGCCATCAAGTTAGCTTTTGCGAATAGTACACAAAGTGAAAACGAAATGTGAATATGAAATGTCATCAAGCAAGCTTTTAGAAATAGTACTCGAAGTGAATAACACCCACATTCACACAAATTAAATTGACAATCTGATTGTGCTGCGTATATTTTTCTATTTATTAATTTGGCAACATTCCCATTGAGAAATGCAGAATCATGGCAAGGGTGCCGAACACTTTTGGTTCATGCAACTCACAGACCGGAAGAGTCTTCACACACAGATTGGATTGCTTGTGAAGAAGGCGCAGGAGACGGCTAGCGAGGATCTGCAGGATCGCTGCCGCCGACTGAAGACGCTGCTCGACGAGGAGGACAAGGGATTTGAGCAGGAGTTTGCCAGCAAGGTGAGGAATCGCCTCGACGAGAACATCCGTTTGCGTCAGGAGCAACTGCACGAGATCAAGGAGCAGCGCGATCAGCGCCATAAGAAGTTCGTCGACATGAAGCGAGTGCAACAGTTAATGGTAAATTGCTATGAGATTCGCGAGGCGTTGCGCCAAAAGGATTGCAACGAGACCAAACTGTGCCAGGAGCAACAGATGCAGGAGAATCTGCGCAAGAAGCGACGCGAATGCGAAAGGGACAACTATTGGCTGAAGCTGAACGAAAGGCGCTGGGCAGACTACGATCGTCAGCAGAACTGTGAGATGCACACACGCGAACAGGTACAGGAGCAGATCTGTCAGGTGCTGCAAGTGCAGCTGGCCGAGCATGAAGAGAAGCGACAGCAGGAGCGCGAGGAGAAGCGTCTCGATACGATCAAGGTAGACAAATTGATTGAGGAATTGCGTCTGGAGGAATTCGACGAAAAACATCGGGCAGCCAACAAGGATAAGGAGAAATACCGTGACGAACTGCTCGAGGATATTAGACGGCACAAGTGTGAAAAGCTCGCCGAATGGACGGCGGACAAGGCGGAACATGAGGAATTCATGCGGGAAACACAACATCTCGAGGCCGGGGCCAAGAAGCGCATCTGGTGCACCAAGAGGGAGCTGTGCCGTGCCACACACGAGTACATCGCCTATGTGCGACGGATGCGCAACCTGGAGCTGGGCATCGAGAAGATGATGAACGATCGCATCGATGATCTCTACCACGTGGACACCTGTTGCAAGAACAACATTGCCGAGCAGACACGCCTCAAGGGCCTGCAAGCGGCACGCTGCCATGCACAGCTCAAGCAGCAGATCTGTGAGGAAATCGAACGCAAGATGCGACTGGAGGCCGAGCACCGTGAGAATGGAATTATCGAGAATCGATTTGTGCATCCACCAGTCACACGGGAAATGATCCTCTGCAAGTACGCAAAAAATCGCGCCGATTTAGACACCCAAATCGTTGAGATGAAACGCATTCGGGCCGAGGAGGAGAAGGCTTTCGAGCAGAAACTGCTGAAGGCCGTCGATGATCCAGAGATTTGCATTCAGTTAGCAGCCCAGTACATGGAAAATGGCACAGACTATCTGCCATCGCATCCCAACTGGAAGATCCATGCCTGCCCCAAAAACAAGTATGTGCCCAAGGCGCCCATGGACCAGCAGCAATTCGATGCACTAATTGCAAGTGCGGGCATTGACAAGTGTCCATGCCCAGCGGCTGCTCGCCACGATTGCGCCCTTATGAATCAGGTGTGCCCCAATGCACCACCGAAAGCACCAGCAAAGAAATTAGAAACCGGAGCCGGGGACAGCGAACCTCAGACCCATAAAGATTCATTCAAAAGCTGCTTGTGCAAGCCACATTTTGCATAAAAAAAATTGTGTTTTAAGACTAGCTTTGAATCAGAAAAAAATACTTGTTTATTGTTAGTATTGTATCTAATTCCTATAGATAATTAGTCTTAGCTACTGATGTATATAAAAAATTATTTCATCCAGCACTTCAAAATAATGTGCGTCAAATACAAAAATTATGTGCTGCAATTATTTGTAACTGGTAGAAGGAATTAATGATAATAAAATAATAAGTTTTCCAAACTAGAACTCACAGTAAATTGCGTATTTAGGAAACGTCTTAAGTCAAACTTACCAATAGTTATTGAATCCTACGGAATCAGCTAATAATTTAATAATTTGCACAATTTCTTGAGGCTTATTCTTGACATGTTAGGATGAATTAGTTAAGCTCCACCACAAGTGCATGCGAGAAAGTTATTATTGATTACATAATGGAGTCTGTTGTAATCATTACAGAGTACTCGAAACGCTTCATGCAAGGAATAATTAGTAGTACAACGATTAAGAAAAAGTGGGAAGAAGTAACGAGCCGGTCTAGAGGGCACAGAAAAATATAATTGGCTCATCAACGCAGCTGAATCGATTTCACCAATTAGTAATTTAACTACAAAGCATAACAAGATGATTAGTTAAGGAGGGAAGGTTAATAAGGATCAGTCTATTTGTATATGGAGGCAGTACACACCAGTCATAGCGACGAAGAGCAAAAAGTAAGAAACCCTTCTGCACAGATTCCAATCTACTTTGTTGAATATGATATTGCGGAGACCACACACAAGATCCATATTCCAGAATTGTATGTATTTTATTCTATGTGAAAAGTGTCCTAGTCGTATATGGGTGATCAAATTCCTTTGACCAACGCTTAATAAAACCAAGAAAGGCTTTGTTGACAGTGAATTTTATTTAATATGACTATCGAATTTAAACTTATATTTCTTATCCGATATTGATAAAGCTTTTGCAGTTAATCAATAAGGTGTAAGGCTATGTTAAATACCAATTGGAAGATGATGTCTTTACAACTGTCTTTTATCGATTTATATCGATATCCGTGAATCTAGGGCAGCTATCAACAAATCAAACTAACTTGAACTTGAACTTATTTTCCATTATTGAAGTTTCTAGTTCTCACAGTCTCTGAGTTCGGCTTGTTCAGGTAAAATTGCACTGGTATATTAAATACAGATCCAAATTAGGACACTCCAAGCATATATTTTTTAAATCGATAATTTGAATTATGTTTTCCCAATTACACATAAGCAGAGTCTGGCATAGACTCAATGTCATAATCAGATTCATGTTAGGAAACACAATTATACATATAATTAAGTGCAGTATACCACTTTACAATACTAAAACAAAAACCTCCATAAACTGCAAAACTACTCCAGCTCACTTGTTCGAAAAATTGCACATATAAATTAATTTGCTGGAAAGATTTAATCAATTTTGCCCAGATTAATTCGCCTTAGGCACATCTTTTCCTAAGCAAGCCCAAACTGTCCCACTCCAGTTGCAAAAGAACTCAAAACAATTTAAGCATTCAAGTCACTCAAAAGTCCTTGATGCCAATTACCCAAACAACCTCCTGTCAAACCAAATTGCAAGCGTCTCCCAAGGATTTTGTGCAATAGAATTTGAACATGAATTTAGAGCAGAAATCGTATTGCTAAATTTAAATGCCAAGCCACAGGCTATTATCGCTTGAATTATAAACTAGCCACAGAAAAACCTGCAACACTCTCAATTTGAGACTCAGTAAACTGAAATAATTTGAAATGCTGTCTGCAACATGCTGCATGAAACGCGAAAATGGAATTTGGTTGCGTGCTCGCATCCGTAAACTAACCACAGAAATTGTCACAGCAGCTCAGTGCCCCACTCAAATGCAGTATGCCAATTCTCTCTATTTGCAGACGACAATTGGGGTCTACCACTGGCCATTGCATCCAAGTTGCATTTACCGTATCGCATCGAAGTTGGCGACACAATACGTGACCTGCATGAGCAGGATAAGCCGGGCAAAGGTACGTGAGTCTATTCTCTGGCTTATTGTCAGTGAAATTTGGCTAGTCGAAAAGATGAGAAACCAAAAATTAGCATACAACCAAACTAATCACCTCTCTTTCTCTCGACCTCTCACATCTGCCACTGTCTGACTTTAGCAATTATTATTACGGCACCGTTTAACGATGCCAGCACGCTGCGTTGGCTACGCAACTCCAAATGGGCAAAGGAGCAATCGCTGGCACAGCAGGAACAGCAGGAGCAGCAGGAACAGCAGCATGCCAAAGTATTGCTCATCGACATTGTGGCCAGTTCATTGAATGTCGAGCATCGACTCTACAAATATTTGGCACACATCAATGCGGCCACTCGCAAGGGGCATGGTAATCGTAATGGTAATGGTTATTGGCCTGGCAACAGTAGCAGCCAGCAACACTCGGGTCTGTTGACCAGCAATCTGTTGGTGCTGACACTGCTAAGCGATAAGCATCGCCACTTGCTAAATGCGGCCGGAATTGAGATGGGCATGGTGCACAATTTTCGCACACCAGCAGCAACGGACCAGCAACAGCAGCAACAGCAGCAGCAGGATGTGGGGAGTGCTGAGCAGGCCCCATTGGAGGCTCGTCAAAATGCCAGCCTCGATAAGCTGCTGCCCTTTATGAATCTGTTCTCGCTGTACGATCTGTTGCTTTCGCACATTGCCAGCGGGGGCAGCGGAGCAACGGGGACAGCCACACCCAAATACGATTTTGTTGTACTCGACATTGTTGTGGATGCTGCACTGGCCACATACAAATGGCGACCGTTGCTCATACTCGAACAGCATGGCATCAAGGGTATGGATGGCCGGGGCAGTTATATAACGCACTCCATTCAGCCCGGTTACGATGAATGGCTGCTGGTGAGCACCGTTCAAATGTGGCATTGTGGCGCCATCTGCTGGACAATTGCAGCCATTTGCATTGGCCTCCTGCTCATCATTGTGGTTGCCAGCGTCGCGGCTGGTGTTGCTGTCAGGTGAGTGACTTACAAATACCCTATATTCTATTGTATTGCATATCATTTTCAGTGTTTAAGACACTAAAAGAAATATGTAGGTCATAGTTATTATCTATAATATCAACAGAAATCAGTCTCAGACAAATATTTATTTTTCTTAAAATGCTTTAAGAATGTTATTAGAAATCATTTTTTATATATATATTATAATATCGAAACAATTGTTAGTTTTTCATTTAATCTAAAATATATTGATTACCATTGGTTTGTTACCGTTAGAAGATTTTGAAACTCAATTCACTGAACTGCGGTATTCAGAAATAAATTAAACAATCAATTCATTTCCTTTGAATAATTAAAATATTTGTATCTAAGAGTATGATTTTAAAAACATATATTCTCATAACCCAACTCAGTTTAAGTAAAAAAGTGTTGAAATATTATTTCATTAATAATATTCTCATTTTTGCTGGCTTAATTTACAGTAGGGTTATCTGTATAAAATTTGTGACCTTGAGACAATGAACATTATTCAATTTTACGTCCAAGCTTTGAAACCGAGCCAAAATGTTTTATTACGAGTATTTATACCCTGTACCCACAAGAAAGATATTTTGAACTTGTGCTAAAGTATGTAAAAGGCAGAGTTCAATCTATCGATAACTTTCCCCGTTTTGCGAATATCGATTTTTAACAAAACCATAACTATAAAGATATATCTTTTTAATCGAGCATATACATATATACCCGGATATCAAAGGTGCGTATGGTTGTTGCTAGGAAAGGAATTGGATTCAGGGTATCTTCCAGTTAAGCTCTCTCGACTGTAGCATTCTTACCTGTTTATTTTTTTACCTTTTGGCCTTATTTAGCATTTTCGGAGCAGATTAGCCTAATCAATTAGCAGACCTTAAAGGCGGTTTCAGATTTCGAGAGCTTCCCACACACAATCCAGGGCCATTAACCTGAGCGCAAAATATTTGGCGCGTGGCAATTTCCATATTAATTTTCATCATTAGGATTTTTCTCGCTTTCGCCCCCTTTTTCCCAACGGGGAGGGGAGAGGGGGCCTGTTAATTGCCTTATGTTATTGTAAATTGTAGAGGCAAAAAGTTAGTTAGTTTGGTTTTTGTATAGAGCATAATTAGATAGCTTTTAATGTGATTAAGTTAGCCCGAACACCGACAAGCTGTCATTTCAGGCATGCGCCAAATGAATAATTTAAATTTATATCTGACTCAGCAGACACAGACATTATAAATTTAAAACGAAATGTGGAGTTAGTGATTTCTTGACATACATCCCATTAGCATTATGTCACTTTATAATTTATATTAGTCCTTGATCAATTGTGTTAATTGCTCGCATCAAACAGATGCTGGTTGGCAATGCTCTCGTTTTGCGCATTTTAATTTGCATGCATATAAAAGCATTTAATCCACATTACAAATTGGTTAGCCAGCAATCATTTACAGAAAATCAATACACAAACCGCAGATGAATTACACCCATTCAAAGAGGGTAACCAACTCACTCACACACACACACACACACACACACAAACACACACACACACCGAAACACACACGCACACACACACGCATAGGTCGTCCATTTTAACAAGCATTTAATTAATTACTTTCATCAAAGCGTAGCATAAGTTAAAGCAACTCACACTCGAAATGCTTCCTGGCAGTTGACATTTATTCACCGCAATCACACACACAAACACACATTCACACACGCCAACACACGTTAACATTTCCATGGACACCTGCAATAAAAAATAGGTGAGAACGCTGCAATCGGGGGTATCCGACTGCTCAATACTCTGATATCTGTTTAATAACAGCTGATGGCAAAAATGCTTCTTGCAAGGAGCTGCCTCAACTAATAATAATAATAAATGTGGTGACTCTAACTCTTTTACTTTCTCCATTTTTTTGGGACTGTTATTTTAATTAGGATATTAATAGAATTTACCTTCCAAATTTAGTAAAAGTATCACTTAAATTGAGGGAGATAAACGCTTTCAAAATGTTTTGGTCTGAGGTGTTTTACAAATCTTTGGCAGAGATTATTATTCTAAAATTCGTTGCCTTTCTTGATTTTTTGGGAACAGTTATTTTTATTAACAACCTGCAGAAGAGATTATTAAAATCTACCTTCCAAATTTGGTAATTGTAGCTCTGAAATTCTGGCCTAATTGGGTTTTTTTCCATTTTCCCCTATTCACGCTACAAATTTCGGATCATTTTGCATTTAAATACCCCCAGAAATCTTATAAATATTTCTTATTTTAAAATATTTATTTTATTTTATTTATTTTTTATGGCCTACAAGTATAAGTAGAAACTCCATAATAACCTAGCTTCAGAGTTTAGTAAATTTAGCTATAATTTAGCATGCTATAATAAAGTGGGCGTGATCATATTGATCTTTGAAGAACTTAACCAGCAATTTACCCCATACGTTTAAGAGACATTTAAGAGACGATTCGCGTTTATCGATAACATATCGACTTAACAGCATTTCATGCATAGCAGATTATTTGTGTTTAAGAAACCTCTAGATTCAAAGTTTTTTTACACTGTCGCTCCGCATTGGAAAATACTCTCTTACCCTTGCTAACAGAGTACAAAAACAGTGTTAAGTGCGGTTGAACAAATCATTTACTGTTTGACAGGTTAAGAACTCTGCCCGCGGTAGTTTGAGTTACGCCCACCTCGCAAACTGAGCTCAATTATATTTGAGAGTGTTAGCTTAAAGTTAGCTACATGTTCAACTTTAAATCGAAACAATCATAAACCCACAAAGTGCAACTCATGAAGTTTTAATTAGCGTGTGGCGCACATAATAGCAAAATGAAAATGTCCACGGACATCAAACCGGAAAGCGTCAGGATAAACAACAAAAAAATACATGCAAGCTGAGGAGCACCGATTAGTGAATACACTTTCAAGCCGGACCACTGAGACCTAATATTGAGAATAGTATATAAATTAGCTATTGATAATAATGATAATGATAATAATTTAAAGTCTCATTGCAAAAAAACTGGAAAGTGCTTCTGCTAAAGATAACTTAACTTAAATGTACAACTAAAAACGACAACTAGAGTAATGTTTTGTGGCAACAGCTTAAGTAGATAATAGATGCTTTCAAAATAGCGCAAGTCATCTTCTGGCAGCAGCAGAGGGTGTGAGGAAGTAAGGCAGACGTGCAGGTGTTTTTATGCTGAACGATGCCGTTGATTATCCTGGCCTGGTTAACACAGCACAGGTAAAAATGTTGTCTATGATTAAGGCCGAAAGCTGTAAGGCGTAAATAGAAAAACTTTAATGGCTTTGGGGCTGGCTACTTAACTGGCGTTACACGTGTGTGTCGCCCTCAAAGAGTTTCGACTTGGTCTAGATAATGCCCATTAATGCGCATAATACATTTAACCTTACTTGGGGCTTTTGGCCACGTGGCAAATTTCCTTGTGGCTTAACAATTGTTGCCTGAATTTGCGCTTTTCCTGCCACCGAATGTTGTATTGCCCACCTTAATGTATGTATGTATGTCTTTACGTAACTAAATAAAGTTTTTATGCTCCAAGTGCCCACAGGGTTGACTATGCTAATAGATGCAGATTGCAGCATGGGCAAAGGGTGGAGGTGGCAAGTAGTCTGTCTGATTTCAAGCTACAGTTAATTGAGCAAACTGAAAAGTAGTTTTAAGCTCTTGTTTTTGCTACGAAAAGTTGCTCCAGGTCAAGCTTGGTGCTTCTGCCCCCTGACAATAGAAGCCAACTAGGTTGCTTGAAAAAACAATGTAAATAAATCAAGGAGCCATTGATAAGTTAAAAGCTTGATAAATGTTGATAAGCTGAGAGAAACTTGAGAATTATTTACATAAAATTCAATTGAAAGAAGATATATTTTCTCAGTGAGTCATGGGATTGCTAACTTCAAGCAGAAATTGATATGAACAAGTAAAAAGATAGTATTTCTTAAGATTTTTAACATTTTTAGTTAAATACCTAATGTGGAAATGTGAAATATGAAATTGAATTCCTCGTTATAACTGCACAATTAATAGTATATATTTCATTTGAAAAGTAAACAAAAAAAAAAACATCTTTAAAGTGTATTACTTATTATTTTGGTATTATAATATGAGATCCCTGTGATATCTCAAAATATAAATATTCTTGACCAATATGTTTTTATAAAACTCGAAAGTTATCGACAGGTTGACTCTGGTCTGCATATAATCTTAGCTTTTTAGCTACGAAATAACTAGTCGCTTATAGACGGTTTTTTTGCACACTCTTCATTAAACAATGTTTCCAATTTTTAATAGCTTCAGGGTCGAATAATTTACATTTACATGTGCTATTATTTATTTATTTTATTATTTCAAATTTCATAAAAATTTCAGCTTTCAGATTCAAATCAGCGGACTAAATTTCTTGGTTTTAATTAAGTCAACTGTTGAAATGTTACCTATAAAAAAGTAGCTGTTTACTCTGCATAGTTGAGGGTAAAATGAATAGATAAATAAGAAATTAGTGAAATGAAAGCGTTCAAACTTAGTCAAAGATAGATAAAATGAGTGAACCAACTGTTTAAACACTAATCGTGACTAGCTGCTCCGCTGCGTATGATTATATGAGTAAATAATGTTTCCATAATATTTTGAAAACTCTAAAAGACTTTCTGCAGCTGTGTAAACTGCTGGTTTTACGTACATGTCAGTCAACTAGAAAAAAGCCACATAAAAACAAAGTGTCTTAGCCATCAGTCTTGTCAATCTAACTCAAAATGCGAATTCAAATGCTGATCTTTTGCTGTGCCACTTTGGCCATGTGCCTCATAAAAAATGCTGATGCCGTGGCCTGTGTTTCAATAGCTCCAAATCTACCTTCTCAATGCACTGATTGCACCAATCCGACAAATATTGGACATGTTGACTGTACAGTGACAACTAAAGCAATAACAACAGTGAAGAAAACAACAAGAAAAACAACAACAGAGCCGACAATATATATACCCGCCTCTGAATGGAGAAAAATGGGCGTAATTATTAATTTTGGAAATATGGTGCTTGAAGCAGATTAAATTATTGTCTAAAGTCGAAAGAGTTTTGTATCCACTTTTTTGAGACAGTGTTTTTACAACTCTTTTTTAAAAACAATGCAAAAATAAAAAACAAATTTTATACAAAAACTCAAATAATCCTTAAATTATCGTCAGATCGATCTTAGTTGTATTTTATAACTTCACATCAACAAATTTATGAACAAGACGATCTCAGAGACTATAAGAGAGAGAAAAAACCAAATTTGATAAACAAGTTCTCAGCTTTTAAAACAAAATATTTCTAATTCTGTACCTTGACCTTAATAATGGTCAACACGAAGGAAAATCGTAATTCCATATTTACCAAAGTAAACAGCAGCAAGTGAATAATAAAGTTACATAACTAAGACGTATACGCTTTTGAATAGTTAAACACTTAGATTCAGGGTTACTTATTCTTACAGTTTTCAATTTAGTAAACATATTTAATATTTTCTTGCCAAATTGTTCTCAATTGACAGAAACTACTTTTTGCGCAAAAGACTCTCGAAGGGACCGAATAAGATTGTGCTCTCGGCCAGTGATTTTGTGTTTCCCGTGGATTCGCGACGAGTAAGCAAAACGTTTAACTAAGTTCAGAGTTCAAAATGCAAGAGAGAGAATTTGCAGGTGGACGAGGGCATTGAGGCGATGCTTTGCTGCTGGCTGCAGCAGCTGCAGGAATTCGGTGGTCCCGAAGTGGATAAGCCAGATCTGCTCAAGGGCTCCATTGGCTCGTTAAAGAATTTGGGTTTTGTGATACCAGGCGCGGCGCCAGCGGGCAATAGCGGTGGTGCCATTGCCGCTGGTGGTGGTGCTGGTGGTGGCGCCACAACAACGGCTGTCAATGGCAAGAGTGGCTCGTATGCGGCAGGCAGCCTGGCGCGCCACAAGCCGGCTCACCTGGACATGCGAGCGCGCTACAACGGTGACCTGGTCCAGCTGAAGGAGATCCAATTGAATGGCTCCGCAGAGTTGCGCTCCAAGGCCATGGATCTGCTGGTGATGGCACATGGACTGCGCCACGAAAATATCAATCCACTGATTGGCTGGCTCTCGGATCCGAATCGCACGGCTATGGTCTTTGACTATTGTTCGCGGGGCTCCTTGCAGGATGTGCTCATCATGGACGAGATCAAGCTGGACTGGTCCTTCCGGCTGAGCTTACTGACAGATCTGGTGCGTGGAATGCGCTACTTGCATGCCTCACCGTTGCGCGTCCATGGCGCCCTTACATCCAGGAATTGTGTGGTGGACGCCAGATGGGTTCTCAAGATCACCGACTATGGGGTCAGCTCCTTCTATGAATCGCAGGGCCTGGCACAGCTGCCACGCAGCACCAAGGAGCTGCTGTGGACGGCACCCGAGTTATTGCGCAACATGAAAACACCACTGCAGCCACAGCATCATCATCATCACCATCATCATCATCAGCAGCATGGACGCATTCAGATGGGCACCCAGCTGGGCGACGTCTACTCCTTTGGCATCATCATGCAGGAGGTGGTCGTCAGGGGCGAACCCTATTGCATGCTCTCCCTCTCGCCGGACGACATCATTGCCAAGATCAAGAAACCACCGCCACTGATAAGGCCCTCGGTCTCCAAAGGTGCTGCCCCACCAGAGGCCATCAACATTATGCGACAGTGTTGGGCGGAACAACCAGATATGCGACCTGACTTTAACTCGTAAGTCTAACAAACAATTTAAATATAGTTTTTATGCAACTTGACGTCATTGGTCTGAGTGAAAGAGTCATAAAATTAAACGGATTTTTTACATACATTTTTGGTTTCTATTTTATTAAGTCTCATTCAGAGTTATTCATATTTTCTTAAGAAAACGAGGCTTCCTATTGTAGCCTAGAATAAACATAGTATTATATTTAGACTGAATACAATACTGAATCTTTTTCTGGCTATTGCCTCACATTTTGTAAGAATTTGTTTATTAAACTACCTATAATTAGACTTTTGAGCTGTTCAACAGAATAGTTATAAATTACATTTGTGTAAAGTCAAATCCTCTCTTGAGCAAGGTTCAAAACTGTCGTGAAAAATGTATGAACAAAAAAAAAATAATAACAGTGGAAACTGTCTCAAGGCTAAGCCGATTGTCAAAAACCAAGGCTATTTGATCCTGATTTTACCTCTAGAATAAAAATGCATTTAAAGTAAGGAACGCAATTCTGAGTCAAAGTCTTGATAAATTTATATACAAAAATAATACTAATGGAGACGGTTCTAAACTTTCCGATACCATCAGAAGAGATCTTTAATTATGCCTGTTTATATCTATTTAATCGACAGCGTTTACGAGCGCTTCAAGATGCTCAATCATGGACGCAAAGTGAACTTTGTGGACACAATGTTCCAAATGCTGGAGAAGTACTCGAACAATCTGGAGGAGCTAATACGCGAGAGAACGGATCAATTGGATATTGAAAGAAAGAAGACTGAGCAGCTGCTAAATCGCATGTTGCCAAGGTATTAACTGGAGCCAAAGGACAATCAATATTAACAATAATGAAACAATTTTGTCCATTTTCACAGCTCGGTTGCTGAGAAACTGAAAATGGGTCTGGCTGTCGATCCAGAGGAGTTCTCCGATGTCACAATCTACTTTAGCGACATTGTTGGTTTTACAACAATCGCCGCCCATTGCAGTCCCGTTCAGGTTGTGGACTTGCTGAACGATCTCTATACGATATTCGATGCCACCATCAATGCCTACAATGTCTACAAGGTGAACAGCGTTTATAGAATAATAATTCCAATAGAGAGCAACTCAGATTTCAATTCCCACGTTTATTTTCAGGTCGAAACGATTGGAGATGCTTATATGGTGGTCAGTGGACTGCCAGTGAAAATACCCGATCATGCCGAGCAAATAGCCACCATGGCGTTGGATCTGCTCCATCAGAGTGGCCGCTTCAATGTCAAGCATTTGCCGGGTGTGCCGCTCCAGCTGCGCATCGGCCTGCACACGGGTCCCTGCTGTGCCGGCGTTGTGGGTCTAACAATGCCACGCTACTGCCTCTTTGGGGATACCGTGAACACAGCCTCCCGAATGGAATCAACAGGTATATACTGAAGACTTTAAATATGTTGTGCATATGAAAATCATATTCCGTCTCTGGTAGGATCCTCGTGGCGCATTCATATGTCGCAAGAGACTCGCGATCGCTTGGAGGCCCGTGGTGGATATTCAATTGAACCACGCGGACTCATCGATATCAAGGGCAAGGGCATGATGAACACATTTTGGCTGCTGGGCAAGAAGGGCTTCGATAAGCCGTTGCCTGTGCCTCCACCTATTGGGTAAGTTCATTATAATTAGGCTAGGATTGTTACGATGAGATAAATTTATCGATAATCAGTAGTTAAAGTTAAGGTCAGCGAGTCCCGACTTGGAATATAATATAAAAGTTTTAAAACATGTTTAAAAATGTAAGGTTATGTTGAAGAGAGAGAGAGAGAGAGAGAGAGAGAGAGAAGAAAGGAGAGACACCTCATCTGTTATAATTAATTTTTATCATATCATATTTAAGACAACACTAAAAACTATATAGCATATAATGCCCACGATATCTTAATCTTATTAAAATCTCTTGCAAAAATATATTAAAATTACTTACTTTAAGTACTTGTAAAACATAAGAAATCATGTGAAGCATCACGACTGCTTCAGATCAATTCACTTACACCTTAAACAGCAGCTTTTTGTCTCTTTAGATTATATTTTGTACATCCTTAACGCGATTAATGATCTACCGATCAAATGCAAGCCATAACTGAAGCTCTCTCTCACGCTTAGTCTTATTCTACTCTTGAGGAAAAAGATTTGCAGAATAATAGGAATTATATATGTATATAGAAACACTCATTGTGTGTATATATGTATTTATATATGGATAAAAAATATACCGTTACTTTAACTGTAACTTGACAACATTCTTTTGATTCATTTAATACGCACCACCAACTCAGGGAGTCGCATGGGTAGGTAAACGAACTCAATGACTAAACTCTTAATATGAAGCTAATTCAACATTTGGATCATAGGCTGGATGAGTCGCTTATACGCAACTCGATAACATTGAAGGCGCAGGCGAATAAATCGCGCACCAGCACAAATCCGTCATCATCGCAAAGCTCATCGCTGGCCGGTGAATCTGTGGAGGTCAAGGTGGAAATAACGCCGCCTGCGAATTCGGAGATGTGCTCGAGCCAGCTGCCAAACTCATATTCGCTGGACTCCAACTCCACCAATACCATTAGCCCCAATGCGACGCTGTGCCCCGAGTTTCCCAACAAGACGCCGAGCAGCACTAGTCCACAATCCCGTAAGCTATCGGAGCTGACGCCGGATAGTCTGCTCAATCCGAATAGCTTTAATCGTTTGCCCAGCTCGACGGGCGGGTCGAGTTCGCGTCTCTACAAGAAGATCGAGGAAATGATGGACCTCAGCTCGCCGTATAATCACTACAAATGCCTCAGTCCCAGCGAGAGCAATCTCACCCAGTTCTACGACGGCAAGTATCTGTTTAGCAATGCGGGCGGCAGCAGCGTCGCTGGTGCCAATGGACCTGGTAGTGGTGGCTGTTCCATCGCCGGCAGCACCTCCAAGTTTGACAGCAAGCCCGGCTCCAGCCGGCTGCTGCGTCGCCAGTTCAGCTTGGATCGCGACGATCAGCAGTCGAAGGTGTCGGAGCAACAGCATCAGCTCTCGCTGCAGGCCAACAACTATGCGGCACTAATCAATGCCAGCAAGAGCTCCATGCTCGACATACCCATGCTGCACGACGCGTCACGCAGTCCCAAGGTCACCTTGGCCCGCATCCACAAACAGAACTCTACCTCCATTGCCCAGGATCTGGAGAAGATCGAGGAGATACCATTGTCGCCGGCCTCCTCGCAGCATCACAGCAGTCTCGATAGCAATCTCAATCGCAGTCCACCCTCCACACTGGAAGTCCAATCCCCAACGCTACCATCCACCTCCACAGCGGCACCCCTCAGCCCGCCGCTGTTGTCGGCGCCTTCCTCGCCGTCACCTTCGCGCTCCTTGAACGGCCTCAATGCGCATAGTCGATGCACCAGCAGCAACAACAACAGCAACAGTAACAACAACAACAACAACAGCAGCAGCGGCAGCAGAAGCGATAGTCCAAATGATGCACCAGATAACAGCCGGCGGGGTCCAGAGATAACGCTCAATGTGGAGCAGCTGCTGAGCAGATAGGGCACAGTTTAGGCCCCAGTGCCAATTATATAATATAAACTACAGAAATTAAAGCTTTAGGTCTGAGAATTTTTGAGTGTTGTGATGATGATGTCAAGTAAAGTACCTCGATGCATGCAAACTTGGTTCCAGCTGCGAAATGAAAGTACAATTTAGTTCAAGATTAGTAATGTCCAAAGATCGAACACAATAATGTATGTATTCGATACCGCTTTCCAAATCTAGTCAAGTTCAATGTGGCACTTTAACCCCTTAACGTTTGAAATACATTTTCCGAATGTAGAATACAAAAATTCATTGAGAATCTAGTTAAAATTAGCGCAATTGATATTATTCTACAACATGAGTTCGCTTTATAGAGAAAGTGTGTTTGCTCAATCATGTTCCAAAATGAATTATTTTATTTAAAAAGTGTTTTCAATTTATAGTAAAACATTATCCCCGTATAAATTGAAAATATTTATATCGTTTATTATTTGCAAACCAATGTTCGTTAAAATTAATTAAAATTATATCTTCTATCTATAAGAAGTTGTATTGAGTTGATTCGAGAGCCGATTGCAGATTTTTATCCTATTCATAAATAAATTTCAGTTTGAAAAAGCATTTTTTTATATTAACTTAACTTCGCCGAAAAACGTTATTTGGGTTTATAAAATCTATTTATAGTCGGAAAATTTTAAATTTTTGAACGTTAATCGGTTAAACATGCCAAAATTATTTGTATCTGCTTCGTAAGTCTAGAAATTTGGGAATGAACCCAGCGTAAGTTAATTAATCAATTTTGTATAAGCCTAATCAAATGTATATTTAACTATAATCAAAGCATGAAACTCCTGAACTGAACTCAGCAAAAAAAGAACAAAAAAAAAAAAACAATATCTAATCAAAAAGTTTTGAGGGCTGATTCTTTCATCCACTACTCGCATGTGTTTTCAATTCTACGTCAAGTTCCTTTCAGATCTACAAATACCTATATATACATGCAATATATGTATGTATTTGAGTAAGTAAAATATTTAAGAAAGTATTTGATGAAAAGCATAATATCAAATAAGAATTATATACGTGAATTTAGTTTTCTAAAGACAATCGTTAATAATTTTATAAAAACCAAAAAGAAAAACCAAATATATATGTATAAAAATGAAAGCTTTTATTTATTGATCTACAGTAGTTGATGTTATTGTCTATATAAGTAATTTGTAGCAGCTCTACAGTAGTCTAGTCGGATTCTAAACCATTTATAATCTGTGTCAAGTATTAACTGATATGATAGCGAACAGCTAGAAAATCATAAATATCAGTTATCAAATATATAAGGCTATAGCTAATTGAACCGGAATATAATTCAAATTTAAATCGATCCCACTAAACTAAAATATTTTGTAACTTATATAGGCGTAGCTCTAAGATTAAACAAAAATAAACTGTTCATTTCAAATGTTTCTAAATATTTTATTCTACTTCTGTTCTATGTTCTATGTCAGTAATTTATCATTACAGAACAATTTTCTTTTCTAATCATGACACTGTCAATTATGTCGAAGCCAAAAGAGCATTAACTTTCTGTATTCTGTTCTGTATTCCAATTGTTCGAAACGCTTTTGTTTTTAATTGAGCTGTGTTTGTGTTCGTGTTAATTTTCTAAATACGAGTACTTACCTTTAATATTGGCATGAATACTAATAAACAGAAATCTCAAAATAAAACTACATAAATAAATGGAAAACGCAATTTTTAAATCATTTTACTGGGAAACCTGGAATTAATAATATAAATCACTCTTCATGATTTTATATCCACTGAAGATTAATAGCCACGGGTTCATATAAAGATAACTTTTGAAATAAAATACTGATAAGAACAATAAGCTTCCAACTATATTTTATTCCTGCCTACATTTTTTTAATTTAATATTTCACTCAAAACTCATCATTCGACCGATTCTTCATACGACAGCTATACGATAGAGTAATATGATCCGAAATAAGAAAATACGGTTATCTTATTATAGAAATAGGCGGACAAATGTCAAGAATATATATACTTTTTCGGATCAGAGACGTCTCCTATAATGCATTATAAGCTTCACGACATAAAAATAATAATAAACTATAATAAATCAATATAAATTTCTTCACAACACATTTATATAGAAATACTTTCCAATTTTCCATTCTTTCAGAATATATAGGACTGACATGAACTTCTAATCTGTATACATTAATTAGCTAGAGGAAAATTCTCGCTTACGATCCGCAAACAAAGCATCTTTAGTTACATGACAGATACAAAATTTAGAAGAGACATCGATTTCCAGAAAATATAAACAATGCTGAAAGTGTAAATAAAATTCGACTTAACAGTTGCAACAGTTTGCTTAATTGGTAGGATTTTATTATTGGAAGTGTATTTGCAGTGTTGTTAGCATTTTGGGTGTCTGTGTGTGTGTGTGTTTTGTGTATAAGTGCATAGGTGTGTGGCTGCGTGTGTTTGTGTGTGTGGGCAGCTCAGAGAACGGTCTGCTCGTCTTCCATATAATACCTAAATAAATGCTATTCCTCCTCCTCTTTGTCTTTGCGATGTGATTTTTTCTTCTCAGTTCGACTGGAAGAACCGGAAGTTGAGGAGCTGCTTTGCTTGCTATTCCGCTCGCTGCGTTCCTTTTCGCGTGACTTGGATTTCCGGCGGCTCGATTTTTCCCGGGATCGCGAACGAATCTCACGTCTTGAACTATCCTTCTCCTTCTCCTTCTCCTTGTCTTTATCCTTATCCTTATCCTTCTCCTTCTCTTTCTCCTTATCTTTGTCCTTCTCTTTTTCCTTCTCCTTCTCCTTCTCCTTGTCCTTATCACGTGAGCGACGGTCGCGCGTGCTGCGTTCCCTATCGCGCTCCTTGTGCTCGCGCTCCTTGCGCTTCTCCTCCTTCAGTATGTGCAGATAGTCCTCGAAGTACTCCTCGCGATAGGCCGATTCCAGTGCCCGATATCGCGGATCCGTTTCAAATTTCTTCTTAATGTCATACCAGCGCGTATGGCGCTCAATGTCGTGCCGCTCCCGCAGCATGTCCAGAAAGTCTTTGCGTAGCTACCGAAAAAAATCACACAATTAGAATATACATAAATAATTTTCAAGATTTTTGACTACAGCTCATTAAAGGAGTTATCAATATGACAATAATTTGTTTTTATATTATTATTGTCCTACAACCTAGTTCGATATATTCTGAGCCCAGTTCGATCCTTACTTAAGCTCAACAGCTAAATTTCAATATATGAAAGGCTTAACAGAATTTAAGCCTTCTAGAATACTCATTGGATAGAGAATTTTGTGTTTTCAAACATGAATTTAGCATTAATTTAGAAATCAAATCATGATCAACCACTTAGATTGTTCTAGGAGAGAGTGTTCGACTAGGAGTGATTTTATTTTGAGCTTTAACTTGAATTCCAACAAAAAAACAACAATTTTTAACTCAAATGCAGCGTTAATCATAAAGCCAAACCATGATCTAAAAGCTATTGCATTTAGAAATCTGTTCAGTTTTGACAAAGTTAAGGCTGTGGAAAGTTTCAACCCTTTCTCTAATGACAAGAACTCAACTCTTAACCGATCGTCCCTATCCTAGCTATATGACATAGAGAACTGATCCGATTCACTTTGACATATTTTAAGTTGCATCAAGTTGGCTCTAAACTGGCTCTGTTTAAGTTGGCTCTAGATACAAACAGACGAATGGATATGGCTATATAAAGAATATATATATATACTTTAAGGGATCGAAGACGTCTCCTGCAAGTGCATTACGCACTCAAACTAAAATATTGCATGAGTTTCACCAAAATAATAGGAACTCTCTGAGAGATGGTGCTGGCTACATCGACATGGATCTTGATGATCTATAATATATATATGCTTTATGGGATCGTCTGCTTCAGTGCATTATACGAATAATATGGAATAGTATCCAATGAACTACAAATTCGCCAAAATTATAAATTCTACATTTACAAATTTCCAGCGAATAAAACTCTATTAAAAAGACTGCAAAAGCTGTAAAAGGTAGCTCTTTAGTTGCTGAGATCGGGTTACTCATGCAGACGGACCTGGCTAAATCGACATGGCTTTTGGATGATTATCATCAATATCAGTAAAATAGTTTCTGAAGTCGTCGGATATGCTTTCTGCTGCCTGTTACAAACTTTAACACAGATTCAGTATATCCTTTTAAACCACTTTTAGTGGGTATATGGCCTCAATCGTGGAATCTCTTGGGGATTCTATACCTGCTCTTTTTTTAGCTGCTTGTCCTTCTCACGTCGACGGCGCTCGCGATCATCATCATAGCTATCGGATCTGCGATCTGAGGAAGACGACGACGGCATATTGCTGTTGTTGCTGTTGCCACTGTTGCTGCCACCAACTGGCATGCGTTGCTGTGGTCCCATATCTGCAAAATGAAATTAAATCAGTTTAGTGTTTTAGGAGTCATCCTCCTCGGCATTCTTACTCATGTTGTGCGGCATGCGTATCATGCCTGGCGGTGGACCCATGCCTGTAGTGAGAGGAATATATATCATAAATAAATAAATATGAATTGCATAGGAATGGATGAGCACTCACCCATGTTGTGCGGCATGCGCATGTTGGGCGGCATCATGCCGGGCGGCGCATGCTGTCCACGTAGCTGTGGCGGCGGTCCGCCCATTTGTGGCGGCGGTACATTCAATTGTGGCGGCATTCCCAGCTGCGGCGGCGTCTGCTGTTGCTGCTGCTGGGACGGATGGTGTGCGGGTCCTGGCGTAAGTTCCTTGATGCCGGTGGGCACCCAGCCGGCATTGTCATTGCCCCACTGGGACTCCTGTGTCGGCTCGTAGCCATAATCAAAGGGTTCCGGCTCGTGGAAATACGGCTCATCGGAGGCGCCTGGTGGCGGAAAATTTGGCGCCATTGGACCAGGGCCACCGCGTGAATACTCGCGACACTCGGCCGTCATCACCTGTATGGCGTTCTCCTTGACACCACCCGTTGTCGAGATGGGACGTGGCGGCCGGGCCATCATGCCCATGCCGGGACGTGGCTGATGCTGCATCATGGGTGGCATGCCTGGCGGTGGCATTTGCATGGCTCCATCACCACCCATCACCATTAGCGGCTGCTGCTGCTGTTGGTGCTGGTGATGATGCATGGAGCCACCCATGCCCATGGGTCCTCCCATAATGAGGTTACCGCCAACGCCACCCCCACCGCCGCCGCCTCCTCCGCCGACGCCGCCAGAGATGTTGCCACTGCCGCTACTGCTGCCGTCAGGCATCATCATGGAGGCGGCACTCTGATTCACATTCTGGGTGAGACTGGCCAAACCGACGCCGCTCTCCGCAACCCTAAAGCGCTTCTGTCGCTCACAATAGGCGCGCCACGTCTCCTCGTTGAAGCCATAGTTAAAGTAGTCGGTGATATCAGCGCCGGGCTTTCGCCACGGCTTCTCCTCTAGCGAATCGATGCTGAACTCGTGAACGGCAACACCATTAATTGTGCCCGCTCCCTCGAAATCCTCGATGCTGAATTTGCCAGCCTGGGCCGATGGTTTCGCCTTGTCCGCCGCCGTTGCGCCCGCCAGCAAATTGGGTCGCTGCTTAATGTTGTATGTGCTCGGCGCTGACTTGATATCGCCAATGACCACATTGATATCATCATCCGAATCATCATCGTCATCCTCCTCCGAACCGGAACCATTGCGCTCCTTGCGCTGCACCGTTGTACTGCTCGTCCCCTCCTCCGTCATATCATCGGCCATCTCAGCATCGATGTCCGGCGAGCCGACTTCGATTCGATCATTTGATGCGCCAGCGGAGCCAGCATCTAGGGCGGTTGCCGGCGCAACGCTGGCTTTGCTGTTGTCCGTTGTGTCGGGCAGCGCCTCCTCGTCCTCCTCCATTTCCTTGGCGGGATCCTCAAAGTCGTCGGCGAACTCGAGCAGCTCCGCCTTGGGAAAGGGGGGCAGCAATCCAGCCGTTCCAGGCTTCTCGCCGGTCACCGCTGCGAGCGCCTCGTGTTCCGCCGCCAATGGATCGCTGCCGTTTGTCATTTCGTTGGTCGTTGAGTCCGGATTTGAGGTGCCGTACAGCCAGCTATCCTCATTCGTATCGTCGGCCATTATTGTGTGCTCTACTTTTTGTTCGCGCGCGACCACGAGTTATTTTTTTTTTTGTTTGTTAATAGAAAAAAAGAAACTTGCAAATGCCGAGCGGCTAACTCAGGTAAACACTGTTTATCAAACTCAAAGACTTTTTTTGCGATAATTTCTCATTAGTGCGTTCTGGTCACACTGGCACACATACTGAAAATTAGCTCTGCTTTATAATTCCAAATGTATCGCTGTGGAATGAATGAAAATGGAACAGAACAAATCAGATGTTAAATTGGCGCGAATTTTGAAATAGTTCAACATAAATAAACCAGTTTTCACGTGTAAAACATCGAAATTTGTGTTTTTTAAGCTGTTAACTGAAGGCCTTTTTTCTGCAACAGCTTGTGTGAATTGAAAAAATATTTCAATTGCACAGGCGTGAATTTTGAAGTAACTCAACATATTTCAGTTAGTCTTTGAAAAAACATCAAAAATTAATGTTTTTAAGCTGCTAACGTAATTAATATCTGTATATTTTTACTAATGAAACTTTGATTAAAAAATTTACTTATTCAAAAGCTAGTCTAAATTGAAAATATGAAGAAAAAAAATTAAATATTCAACAAAATCAATTAAGAATTTCAATAAATGTGACTTTTACGTATGAAGAGTTTTCTTATACCACAACTATGAATTGAGAAAATATTTAAGTTGTGCTGGCGTGAGTTTGAACTAATTCAACATATTTATAGCAGTCATAGCATTTAAAACATCGAAAGTAATGTTCTTAAGCAGTTTATTTAAATAAAAACTGTGGCTTTTTACTTGTAAGACTCCAATTAAAGGCTTTTTGTTTTCAACAGCAAGTATGTAGTGAAAATATGAAGAAAGAAAATGTTTCAAATAATTCAATATATCGAAACGAGTCTTTTGATTTTGATAACTTCGAAATTAATGCTCTTAAAATGATAATATAAATAATAAAAGCATAATAACATAAATATTAGTAATATTTCGATTGCACTGGTGCAAATTTAAGTTAATTCAACATTTTTAAAGCTGTCTTAAATTTGAAAAAATTGAAATTTACATATTTAAGTTGATAATTTAAATAATCACTGTGTTACTTTGCCTTTGTTGATTTAATTGAGAGCTTTTCTTATTCAATTATAAATTGAATATATGAGTTATAATAACAATTTCAAAAATTCCAAATATTTAATTCAGTCTTAACATCGACAATAATTTAGATAATAATTGTGCTTTAATTGAAGTCTCTTACTGTAAACATAAAAATTTAAATAATATGTAAGTTATATAAAGCAGATTAATATTAATCATAGAAATAGTCAACATTTCTTTGTCGCATTTCAATCGAAATATATTTTTCAATCCATAACTCTTAAATTTGTACATTTTTATTTTTCAAAACTTTATTAACATGATTTCTACACTCAAAGTGTTTTCAGAATATCTCGCACAACATTCCGGAACATGCAGGAGAGGGCGCAATCGTAGCGCCGCAAACAGAGTTGCCGTAATCCGAGCAGCAGTTGGCCAAATCGCAGCCAATGGGATCGGTGCAGCGTATAGCGGGCCAGGGAGCAGAGTGCTCCATTCGAGTGTGCCTCCAAAATCACGGCATAATCCGCATTGAGGGCCAGTTCTGCAAGGATATCATTTATCAGAGACAATTAACTGTAAGTTACCTAAGTTGTGCAAACCTTTGCGGCACAAGATGAGCGTCTCCAGAAAGTTGAGTTCCATGAGATCGGCACGCAGCTGTTGGGCCTCGGCTAGCAGCCACTTGAGCTGAGCATCTCCACAGGTGTCGATCATGGCGCTGATGTCGAGGGACCAGTGCGAGGCACGCAGAATAAAGCACTCACTCCACACCACCTGCAGAATGGCATCCTGCTGCGCTCGCTCCAGCAGACGGAACTGTTCGTTGAGCTTCGCCTGGCGCAGACACGTGACCAGAATTTGGGCGAGTATCTGAAAGTGCAGTGTCTGCCCGCCAGCAACCGGAGGAGTAGGCGACGGGGTTGATGATGTCCGCGCCAGCAGCAGACGACGGCAATGATTCGAGTTGCTCGGTTGCGATTGGTGTTGGGTGCGTGGACCACGCTCCTCCTGGACGGCAGTAATGTTCATACCGGCGGCGAGACAGCGCTGGAAACGACAGAAGGGACACCAATTGCGACGTGCCTTGTCCACGACACAATTTCCCTTGCCAGCAATGCAGGCATAATTGTTGCCCTTGCGTACGCTCCGCTTGAAGAAGCAGGAGCAGCCATCGCAGCAGGAGACCCCATAATGTTTCCCAGAACTCTGATCTCCGCACACCTGACAGCCATTGTAGAGGGACATGGACATGCCAAGGATCTCGATGCAACTGAGCGAAAAGGACGAGCTATTGGCGGTTTTTATAGTGTGTGTAGTATTTGTCCACAAATGATATGCAAATCAAAGACACTTCAGCTCCACATGATTTGTGCTTTTTATTTATTTAGCGAATTCCTTTGCCAACGCCCACATCGCTGGAGGGGGGCGTAACACGTCAAAAGTGACAATCATCGTGTTAACAATTTGTAAACAATTATTGTTGTGCTCTATGATTGGTCAGCGCCAGCCGGCCACTTGAACTCTGAACTGACATGTTGTGTAAACAATAATAATACAAAAAAGGACGCGTCGCGTAACGTCAACGTCCAATATGACAATTAGGGGTTGTAACCAAATTTCTTGGAGTATGAGTGCTGCTTTTACCCCAACTTAAACATATTTATTTGTAAAATACTTAATTGTATGTCAGGTATTTGCCCGCCTATTTCTGAAGATAATTTAAATGGCTCAAGACTATTTATCAAATATAAGTTTAAATTGTCAACTGGCGCTCTTGTTTTTAAATGCGAGTGTTACCAGCATCAAGGGTTTTGCTATGATTTTTTCATATATATCGATAACTAACAGCAAGCCAACCAGGCTTGAGCAAAAAATTGATTTATTTTTTAAAAAATAATTAAAGTTTCTATGAAGACTTAGACAAAATAATTTATTTCTTAACTGATTGAAAATAATGTTCAAAAATAGTTTGGCAAACCATTTTGCTTGTTAAGTACCATTTCAAATTGTAAAATTAATCGATATAGTCTGTTCAAGATTGTTTTCCAATTGGGATAATATTGACAGAACTTCCCTAATGTATTTACTTCTCCTTATCAAAATGCTTTGCCTCTACTATTACTTTACATATTTCTAGAATCTTTTCTTTGTTAAGCCGCCCAGCAGCAGTTGACTGCATTTACGACTAAATCACGACACCCGTTTAAATAATAAATAAATTAAGTGATTAGTAGAAATTAAATGGGAGAGCGATGGTAAGCATGCTGTTAATAACATTGCGACAAAAAATGTAAAGCGTAGGTCGCGCATGTTACGAGCGACATTTTTTATGGGGTATTTTAACGACAACCGCTTGCGGTCACACCATTTACATGTGTCATGTTTTTTGTATTTATTACAAGAAACTTTTTTTAAAATAAAATGTAAGCTTTCGTATCGCCAATAAGCGGCAACAACGCGCGTATTTAAGCCACACAAAAGGTCAGCCAGCAAGTCGCGTCCGGATCCGTTGTCAAAACCAAGTGTTTGCTCCAGTTTTGCATCGCCTGCTGCCGCAGCGCTTTTCTTTCTCTCTTCCCATGTCGGCCATTTAAATCCAGAAACTACAAAATATTAGTGAAAACGCGAAAACGTGAAAAACACAAAAACGTTGCGCGGGCAGTTTTTGTTACACACAAATGCGCCCAGCAAAAGTGCAGATGCAGTTGTAGTTAAAGTGAAGCTCATCTAAATTATCAACACAAGAAGAAGAAAAGGAAGCAGAAGAGTTGCTTAGAGAAGGAGAACGAGGGGAAGTTGGGGCGGCTGCTCAAATTGTTTGAACGTCGGCAAACAACGGTTCTGCTGTGAGTTAGTTTTGTGTTTCTATTATTGCCTTAAGTTTCATTCATAAAAAAAACGCATACACTGCAACAAATTCCAATTGGTGGTGAATGCAGCTGTTTCGTCGACACCTCAGCACACACACACACACAGACATACGCACACATGTGGATTGATTTTTCCAACATTCATTTGAGTGCGCGCCGTGTGTGTGTGTGTGCCGTCCAAGTGGTTTTTATCTCATTTTAGTTTTGGATTATATGCGATTAATGCATTGCTGCTGCTGCTGTTCCATATCCATTTTGGTGTAAAAATAAACCGCTAACCCAAATCAAAAGAACAAAAAAAAAAATATGTAGAAAATGTCAACAAGCGTGTGATGCATACAGGGTGCCTACAAGCAACACCCACCCCACCCCCACACGCACGTGCAGCGTGAAGCGCCAGCAGTGCAAGCAAAGAACTCAAATAACAGCGAGAACAAGCAAAACGTGCCAAACCGCACCAAATAAAAAATACATTTAAATGTATATGCATGTATGAGTGTGCGTATGTGTGTACACACTTATGCACGTAATAATTATAATGCTAGACTGGCCACACTTTGCAGTCAATTTGGCATTTAACGGTTAGCGGCCTCTGCATTAACGGCATATGCCCATAAATCTATTTGTATTTGCCTAGGCCTAACACCGGACAGGTAAAACGTAAAACGGAAAGCAAAGCGCCAACTTGCAACACAAAAAAAGTAGGAAAGGAAGGGAAAAAGAAATAGTGGAAGACACATTTCCGCTCGGTAGCGAACAAAACCAAAATAGACAACAGCGCACAGTGGGCGAGAATTGTTCCCTTTTTCGATCATTTTGAATTATTGAAATACGATTTAAGCAAAATAAGTAAATTGCAATGAAAAAAACATATATTTATTTAATTAATTTGCATAAATGCAATTGGTGGCTAATTTTAGCAAGTGCATTTTTCTTATTGAATGAAATCATAATACCAATTATAACTAAGAAATTTATTAGCTGTGCATTAATTGTATAAATATTTTCTGTGCTTAAGCACGAAAATTCGAAATTAAAATATAGAATTTTCAAATAAACTTTGATATATTATATTTTATTAAAATATAAAAGATAATCACTTTTAAGGTATGATTACTATGACTTTTAGCATATTTTAGAATTTTTCATAAATTAATTGGAAAAAATATATTGTATCCATTTAAATAGTTTGATGATCCCACAATGCATTCATTGCTGACGTTGTCGTTGTCTCTCTATATGCCTGTGTGTGTGTGCGTGTGAGTGTGTGTATGTTTGTGGCTTCTCTCAGCACTTGGAGGCAGCGCACTCAATGCACTTGTAGTTGTTGTTGCTGTTGTGCTGGTGTTTTCTTTTTTTTGTTGCAACATGCACCCAACTACACATATATTTATGTATGTGTGTTGGTTGGCCCACTTGATCAGATATAGGGGTAACGAAGGGGGGCAGTTGGGCGTCTGCCATTCCACACACTAATCTGAATGCGGCAAGTGTTGTTGAGTTTCCTGTAGTGCTGTCGCTCATTAGGGAATAATTTGCATTAGCTGCAAAAACTGTTTGCCAGATATATACACATTGAACATATAAATATATATATATCTGCATATATAGAATTTATATATTGATTTTACTTGAACTTCAACATCATGAGCAAAAACAAATTATAAAACAGTATTTCATTTGGCAGCTCCCGACGGCGAAATACCCTGTTCTCAACACCAAGCAAAAATATCTTTTGTCAATATAGAACTTACAAATTATAATCAATATTATAATTTTCTTCGTTTTTCTCTCTTTCATATTATTTGTTAATTTCTAAAAATATTTCTTACTTTTAAATGCAAAGTTTTCTACAACTATTAAAACCGTTCAATTTAAAATGCTGTCAAACTTTTCTCTATTTCTAAAGTGTATTTGATTATCCAATATACTCTATTTCTGTGGGACCAGGTTACATAAAAAATAAAAACCCAACAAAAAAAACAACAGAAAATGTAACCCAGTTCTTGGCGCCCACTCGCCGCACTCAGGAGTTGTTTGGAGTAGCCGGCATGGATAAGGAAGGGGAGTGGCTGGGCGCGGGGGGAGCTTATAAACCAATAATTACCTATCGACGGTGTTCGTCATCATTGCGCTCTTGATGATGTTGGGCAGACGGCCAACAAACACATATATGCACATACAATCTACACAATGGGGAGGGGAGGGAAAAAAAATACCTTGTTTGCTTACAATTTTCACACCCCCGTCCCCCAGCAAAAGGCTTGCATGCTGTTATTGTGTTTGCTGCTCTGCTGCTGCTGTCTCTCAGTCGCTGCATTGACTTTTGACGCCTGACGTTGATAAATGAATCATAAAAGCAGCGCAGTCAACGGCAGGCAGTCAGAGCGCCACCGGCAAACTTGCACGCAAACAAGGAACTAGTGAAAACGGAGAGAGGGAAAGAGGGAGAGAGAGATAGGGCAGACAGGGGCGCTCTCAGCGTGAGTGATATATTTTTTGTGCCCACACATTATTTATCTCTTTCACATTCTGAATTGAGATTGAAAGGCGTGAGTCGCATTATTGTTGTTTTTATTTACGTGCTAATCGATAACAGCTGTGCCGCTATTGCTCTTGTTATCGCCCAAGTTTTCTCCGCTGCCCACGACGATCGTCCGTCTGCTGCGCTCTCTTTCACTCTCACCATTTGTCGAGCAGAGTTGTTGTAGTTTTTCTGCTGCTTCTGCTTCTGCTGCTGTTGCTGTTGGTTTTGCCGCCGGGCAGTGGCAGTGACACTCAAAGCGAGTCCGAGCAGCAGCAACTGGCAGTCAGAGTCAGTTCGTCGGTCAGTCCATATTGATATTAATTACATTTGTATATTTATTTTGTGTGTGGGTGTTTTCTTTTTTTTTTATAAAAAAAAAACAAAAATATGGTTTTTTGTGTGCCAAAAAATAAAATTGTTCAAATGAAGAGCACACAATATTTGAAGTGATTTTGCAGATAATCATAAAGCACAAAAAACAACAACAAAGCAGAACTCAATCGCGATATATATATATATATATTATATTTACTGAATATATTTTATAAAGAGTGTTGCTCACTGTTCTTATGACTAAAGCTAAAGTTGTATGAAAATATGAGAATACAACAAAAAAAAGAGCGTAGAAATGAACAAGTAAAAGGCAACCGTTGAAATCTAGTTAGATAAGCGTTGTTGCTGTAGATAAAAGGCCTTGTCCCTGCCCTTGCCTGTGGCTGTGTGACGCATGCCACCCAATGGATGAAAGAATTTGTTGTTGTTTTTGTTGTTTTTTTCCTTTTGATAGCAGCAGCGGCAGTAACTCAACAAGTTGAGCATTCTTTTAACATTGATTGTGTTTTATTATTGTTATTTATATTTGTAGCCGTAGCTAGCTTCTTGCTATCAATCCAGGCATTTCAATAGACAGACATCAACAGCAGCAGAGATGTCCAGTGAGGAGGATAAACCACCAGCGCCGCCAGTGCGTCTAACCAGCAATCGTGGCGGCGTCGGCATCGAACGTGTTCCCCTCCCCGGCAGCGGAGGAGCGGGTGGAGATGCGCCCTCAGTTGACATGCGTCCCTTGCCGAAGGGTAAGTATTACCATACTCAATCACATATATATTTATATATAGTTATTTATAATTGCCTTCAAAGAACCCGACGACTCGGATCGCAAGAAGAAGACGCTGAAGAACAAGATTAAAGGCTCGAAACCCTCGCACATGGATTCCAAACCAAATATCTCGTATCCCACAAACTTTGAGCACACCGTGCATGTGGGCTTCGATGCAGTCACCGGCGAGTTTACGGTGAGTTCATGTCCCCATTGCAATTGTTACAATTGACTATTGATTTAGTTTGTTGTGCGCTTTGCTTCCTGGTCTCGCAATCATTATTGTTTTATGGCCTAGCAAAAGCGTTATCACAAATTCGATTGCCAATCTATCTTTTGCCAGTTCCAATTGAAAATCAATGCAAAAAACAAGAAACAAAAAAGGAACTAAAACATTTCAATATGCATCACATTAAACGTAAAACTACAATTCAAGGATTAACTAAAAAAAAAACCAAATGTTAGTTAAAGTTAATTGGAATTTGAATAGCTTTCAAAACAAAGCGAAACTTGCAAAGATTTCTTAGGAATAGTATATGTAAATTGCTCTATGTTCAATGTTCAGCGTGAAAATCTAAAATCTCAGTTGATTTTAAGATCAAGATTCGACATGAAATTTAACTATTTACTCCAATATGATGGTAACTTTATTTTTATTGTGATTATAGTCAAATTTTTGCCAGAGCTCATTTCTTTTATGGCTTTTACGCTTCTCAGAATCATTGATTGATTTTGTTTGATATCATGCCCCCTATTTAAATACTTAATTGTACATTATGTAACTTAACTCGCGATATACCAATTTTGTATTATTCATTATTATTTCAAGCTGCCAATGAAAGTAAGTAAAACACCTCGTTTAAAGCAACGGTACTTGCCTTCATTAGTTTTCTAAGCGAAATTCCAATCATCTATTGTTGTTCTTCAGTTGTGTGTGTTTCAATCCATTTCCTTGTTTTCTGAAATCGGCTCTTCCATAGTTACACATTTCGTTTAGATTTGTTCCTTGAAGTTGTTTCTTTCTTTTATCTACACTAGTCTAGTCTACACCAACAAACCCCTCAACACACCACACACTTCAACTATCACTGAGGGCGCTGCGCTTAAGTATATATATATATTATGAATATACTCCCAATTAATCCCAGATATATACAAAACCAATTCACGCTTCTCCTTGCTGTTCTTCTTTCTCTCTCTGAGTGTGTGTGTGTGTTTTTGTAACTGGGTTCCTTTTAATTGAAATTGTTGAGATCTTAACCGACTAATTGGTATTTCTGAATTTTACAGGGTATGCCAGAGGCGTGGGCGCGTCTGCTGATGAACTCCAACATCAGCAAACAGGAGCAGAAAAAGAATCCACAGGCCGTGCTCGATGTGCTCAAATGGTTTGACAATACAACCAAACAGAGGCCAAGTTCCAAGTACATGACAAATGCGATAACGACGCATTCAGGTGAGCTCTTCTGCATACGAAACCCATTAATAATAGTTAACTGAATCAGTTCTTCAACAATCCCCGTTAAGAAATATATAAAAAAAAAAATAAAACAGTTTAAATTCAATGAATATTCATAAGCAGAACATTTTGTTTATAACTGATTCAGTGAACTAAAAGTTGTAAACATTTGTTATTAACATACTCTACTCCGATTTTAGGCTCATCGCTGAGCCGTGTGAGCAGCAGTAGTCCCAGCAGCACGCCCACAGACTCGGAGCTGCATGGCTCGAATAGTGGCGGCAACTTAATTGGCGTCCAGCTGGGCAGCATGACACTCGGCCCGAATGCCAACAATGTGTCCGCAGCGGGGCAGTTGCTGAGCAATCACTACCAACAGCAGCAGCATTTGCTACAGCAGCAACAGTTGCAGCAGCAGCAGCAACAACAGCAGCAGCTACAACAGCAACTGCAGCAGCAGCAGCAGCAGCAACAACAGCATCATCATCACATTGGATCAATGAGTCAATCGCATTCGTACAATTTCGTTGGGCACACAGCCTCCTCAACCACATCCACATCGCAACATTCATCTGCCAATGAGAACGACATGTATGTAGATATGGGCGCAGCGCCGCAGCCGGCGCCGCCGCCAGTTGCCTCGCGGCCGGAGCGCACGAAGTCCATCTATACGCGACCCATTGAGGAGCTGCAGCCAGCGCCAATGCCAATGCCAGCGGCACCGGCAACAACACCCGCAACGCCACTGCAGAACCACAAAGCGACGGCGGCATCATCACCTCTAATTCTTAACAATGCCACAACGACGCTGGACAAGAACAAAAACAATGAAAGTGAGTTTAAATGTCTGTTAGCTGTCAGGCAAACTCAGCCAAATTTAGCTCTTGATTTTACTAACAGTGCTTTGCAGTATGTAGGAATTAAATTGCTTTATTCAAATGCCTCAGAAGTCTCGATCATAATCCAAATGTCGTCTGCGGATTATTTTTGACAGTTTTTGCTCTGCTTAGAATTTTTTATATACATATATTATTATTTAGGCTATTGTATACTATAGTATCCGGGCACTAGTATCTCTCTTTCTACTCTGAACCCACTTAAAATAGGAAAGGGGATATAATAAATATGAGCAAAAGTAGGTAACAGGTAGAAAGAAACAGGTGTATATATTCTTGATTAGCAGTAATAGCCGAGTCGATCTAACCATGTCCATCTGTGTGCCGAGTCGATCTAAGCATGTCCGTCTCACCTAATATAAGATAAATATAAATATCGATATAAATCGATTATTGCTTTCAGTAATAGACTCAATTTTAAAGATATAGCATACCAATTGAAATAACCAGACATATATTAGATCTACATAAAACAGAAACACGAATTTCGTTAACCCAAAAACAGATATATCTCATACATATATATCAACAAATCTCCTACATTTGTATTCAGTAAAGAGTGACAGTTAGCTCATTAAATGAATCAGTTGAAAACCCACTCAATTTTCAATATTTACATTATTTTTGATACCCAATCTTTATAATCATAGTCATATTACAAGTTCTTGCTAACAAATGACAAATATATAGAGTTGATATAGATCTGTGAATACGAGTTTACATAAAATGAAAGCAATATCCATTTAACTGCAAGGGCATTAGGAGACTTCGGAGTGCAGTTCGAAGATGGTTTCAGTTTACCTTGTTGTCTTAGTTGAAGTAATGATGCACTAATGCATTGATGTGTAATGTGTAATGTTAATGTTATTGTCATTTGTCATTTGTATCGCCTCTGTGTTCTGTTTTGTTCTGTTTTGAAATTGCTTTTGAATTGCTGCTAAACAACCAACTGAAACATCAGCAACAAGTGTAACTGCAACAGCAGCAGCAGACTGCAGCTCAACAGCAGCAGCAGCAGAAACAGAAGGCACTGGGGCAACAACAACAACAACAACAGCAAGAACGACAACAACAACAGCTGCTACTAATGCTACTCGTATTTTGTCTGCTATTGCTACAAATGCTACTACTAATTGTCCTCCCACAACTCCTACAACAGCAGTTGCTGCAGCTTCTAGCAGAGAGGAGCGGCAGCTCGTTGAATGCAATGCAGCAGCAACAACAGAAGCAACAGTTCTAACCGCTTTAGCAGCAACAGCAACAACGACTAATCACCACTCTTCTGCTTCCTCCTTTTCATCGTTCACCTCGTTCCATGATGATGCGACGCCGCCGCTGTCCGCCAATGCCCTGCCATCGATCCACTGTCCAACGCCAACGTCTTCCGCACGCAACTCCGGCGCTGTGCCGCCCATGCTGCCCACAATAACGATGGTAACACCTGCCACACCTGCCACAGACCTCTACCATTATCCGGCGGCGGCCAACAACCTCAATGCCTCAGCGTTGGCAGCAACGCCTGCGGCGGGCACACAAATTGCAGTGCCGCAGCAGGCAGCAGCTGCCACAACAGCAGCAGCAACAGCAACAACAACGGCGGCGACGACAACGACGACGACGCGAGCCGCCAACGCCAAGAAGAAGAAAATGTCGGATGAGGAAATATTAGAGAAACTGCGCACCATTGTCTCTGTGGGTGATCCCAATCGCAAGTACACCAAAATGGAGAAAATTGGCCAGGGTGCCTCGGGCACAGTTTACACAGCAATTGAATCATCCACGGGCATGGAGGTGGCCATCAAACAGATGAACTTGTCACAGCAGCCCAAAAAGGAGCTCATCATCAATGAGATACTCGTTATGCGAGAGAACAAGCACCCGAATGTCGTCAACTATTTGGACAGCTATCTGGTGTCGGAAGAGCTGTGGGTGGTTATGGAATATCTGCCCGGTGGCTCATTGACCGATGTCGTTACCGAGACCTGTATGGATGAGGGACAAATTGCGGCCGTTTGCCGTGAGGTGCTGCAGGCGCTCGAGTTTCTGCACGCCAATCAGGTCATTCATCGCGATATTAAAAGTGATAATATACTGCTTGGCCTGGATGGCTCCGTCAAGCTGACTGATTTCGGTTTCTGTGCGCAAATCTCGCCGGAGCAATCGAAACGCACAACAATGGTCGGCACACCCTACTGGATGGCCCCAGAGGTAGTCACACGCAAGCATTACGGACCCAAGGTAATAATAACTTGCAATATATATCTGATAACAAAAAAAAAAAAACGATCTTTTTATGGATGTGAATTGATTTCAGGTCGATTTGTGGTCGCTGGGCATTATGGCCATTGAGATGGTCGAGGGTGAACCGCCGTATTTGAATGAGAATCCGCTTAAAGCCCTATACCTCATTGCCACAAACGGAAAGCCGGAGATTAAGGAAAAAGACAAGCTGACGGCAGCATTTCAAGATTTTCTAGATCAGTGTCTCGAAGTGGAGGTGGAGCGGCGCGCCAGCGCCATGGACCTGCTAAAGGTGACTAAAACTCAACTTTCATTTAATAATTTCATTGTGTATGCTAATTTGTTATAATTATTTTAGCATCCCTTCTTGAAATTGGCACGTCCATTGGCCAGTCTGACGCCTTTGATTATGGCCGCCAAGGAGGCAACTAAGGGCAACTGATTGACAACCAAAAAGCAGCAACTTATTTAACCATTACTAATGAATTACTATTACAAGCAACAGCAGCAGCGACAACAACAGCAACCACAATAACAATAGCACCAATTTATGCGTATGAATGAACAGATGAGAGATAAATGATTAGAGTTTATGATTATTTATATAAACGTATTTATATACATACACATATATATTCTTATTATATACATTATTAACTACTCTATAAAAACAATTCAATGGGCAACTTCAACACACATGTAGCCAAAATACGCGTAGTTCATTATTTAACACCACCATTCGGTTTCCAGTCGATTGCTGAAGTTTAAGATCATTTTAAACGACAACAAGTACTTTGTTTCGCATATATATATATGCAAATATATATTAAAAGCGGTCAGCAAACAATTTATTCAATTTTGACAGTTTTGCTGCTGATTTGTTATACCAAATTATCGGGCATTTTAAATGCCTTGGAAAGTTATTTTAAATAGTTTCGACACAAATTCATTGAACACATTATCGTAAAAAACACTACATTTAAAAATTGGCATTTGCATTTAAAAATCATATGAAACTAATAATAATAATAACTAAATATTATATACTATAACAATTGTATAAAGAGGAAAAGCACCTATAATTTCAATAATCGTTTTTCATTCATTTTCTTTAAGAACAAACTGAGTAGAAGAGAGAAAACACACACACGAAATTCTTGCGCAAAACGCTGTAACACTAACTTTAATCACTTAAGAGTATTATTTAAATGTTTCATTTGCAAACTTTTGCTGCATTCAGTAAAAGTTTCGACTAGTTTCTTAAACTGCTTTATTTAATAAAACAAAACGTAAATATATTTTTTTACATATGAGCTTGTGAATTTTTATTTTGTGCATCTTTTTATTTATTTTTTGTTTTTGTATTTTGTTTTTAGCTGCTATTTTGAAAAGAAATTTGAGCGTTCATTTTGACTTTCACAAAGGATCTGTCCAAAAACAAGTTGCAACTAAATACTACCTTATCACGCTTTGCCCATCGCTCGATTGCACCCAAGACAAAAAAAAATACACACACACACATACAACACCCACATCCCTTTTGTACTATGTCTGTAAATGTTAGCTGTAAATCGACTTCGTAACATTTAATTGTAAAAGAGTTTACCTTGATATTAGAAGAGCCTATATATTTTTCAAATAACAACAATGTGGTTTATTGAGATAACAATATGTAGCAATTTATTGAAATATTATAGACATAGCAAATAGAAAACTAAACAAAATGAAGAGAACCACTCTTAACTGTTCAATAAGTTGGTAGTAGCAACTAAATATAACTAGCAATTAAATAGCGTGTAAAAATGATCGTGAACCATGAGAAAAAAACAAACAAAAAAAAACAGTTACTTTGTGCCTAACCAATAAATGAAAAATCAAACAATTGAAATGCATTCAATAAGAGAAACAACAACAACAATTAATATATAAATAATTAACTAACTGATATAGATTAACATAGCACGTAGCGTAGGAGAGCTAACAACAACAAAAAAAAACAGCCACACAAAAATAATTTGCATTTCAAAATTGATTTAATTTATTTGTGACACTGTCATATGAAGTTTTCTACTCCCTTGATTATTTCTATATTTCAACTTTATAGGTTTTGAGTAAACCATATATGAAAAGCTGAATCCAACAATATGTTTCAACCCTTTCGTATTTTATATTTTAGAATACATATGACAGTTTATACAAATGTGTCCTATTTGCGGAAACCTTTTGAATTACCCTATGGGTGGCACGTAGCATATAATAGTTGGTAGATAAAATGCAATAATGAGAGTGGGATAGATCCGGGAAACAACCAACCAAAGAGATGGACGAAATGAATCATTTTCAAAACGATCAAAACGTTTATTTAGTGGGCTACTTTTTTATTATATCTAAAACACAATTTAGTTGAAGGAAATTGTTTCATTAAGTCTATGTAATTTATCGAAGAAATATAATAATCTTCTCATGATAACTTGAAAGATATTTGGTTATTTATTGATCGGGGTTACATATGAGTCGTCATTGGGAATAGTTTTACACATCCACAACTGTACATGGATCATTACCTCTCGAACGGTCCACAGCGGTCCGATTTGACTAGTTGAAATTTTCGTTAACAGCTCAATAACACCAAAATGATAAATCGAAGAAAACTGTGGAAATTATTTTGTACAACATACACGGTGCGCATTATTTTCGCTATTAGTTCCTAAAACAGACAAACACAGACATTTACATTGAAGTACATCAAAATGTATGGATGTATCTACAATAATTTGAACTATGCACTACGGAGCGAACGTCAAACTACTTGGCGCCGGCAGTTGAAAAACGAATATGAATACGAAAACATCAAATATAGAAATTATTGTATTTTTTAGTATTTAGGAACCAAAAACGAAGGTACAGAATGCATCTGTATTAAACAATAATGGTAGCGAAGAATTGGAATCTAAGTACATGCGTACATATATATAGAAATAGAGTTATGAAATTACGAAATGAAAACGAGTAAACAAAAAACAAATATATATATATAGATACATATATATTTATATATATATATGTGTTCATGACAAATACAAATCTAATATAACGTATTAATGATCAATAAAAATATATATACACATATATGAATACAAAATGGCTTTTGGGCTTTTCTTTTCATTATTTGTTTATTATATAGCACATTGTTGCATGCTCTTGAAGGGATTAATATATTTTATGTTTAGGTGCTACATAAGTTCAATGCTTAACATAAATGGGGCTTGAGTTATTTTGTTTGTTTATGAATATTGTTTTTCGGCTTTACTTATTGCGACGTGTGGACTCGGAGGCTGTTGGCGGTGGTGGAGGACCACGTTTGTTCATCTCCTCCAAGAAGCCCATTAGGATACTGCTGCGGTCCTCCTCCAAATGATCCAGCACCAAGTAGCTGCAACAATATCATACAATGATTAACTAATGCATTTCCGAAGAATCTGAATTTGAGCTTACCGCTTGTCGTTCTTGAGAATGTCCTGGATTTCCTTAAGGTGATTGGCATTTTCCTTGATGAGATCGCTGCTCTTGTGTGTTATGAATTTACACTCCTGCAACAATTCACGCAGCGCTGTTTTGGCCTGCATGGTTTTGTCCTTAATGTAATCGCGATACTCGCGCTCCCCTTTATCTGAGCTGTATTTGAGATATCGCGGATCGTCCTTGACTAATTTCTTGATCTCCTTCCAGGTGCTAGTCAGTTGCAGTGTGCCAATCTCGTCAAGCATTTCGCGGAACTTTTCGCGTTTCTTTTTCATCAGATTGTCAATATGCTCGTTAAAGATTCTGCGAACGGATACACGAGATTTAAGATAAAAAATGCCAATTTAACAGAATGTCGCTGGGATGGAAGACTTACCGCTCACGATCATCGCGATCGAGTGTCTCAATCAATTCCCAGCGATGATCCTTGCGTAGCTGCCGTTTGACCTCCTTCCAGGTGAAATCGGGCGTGCGCACCAGATCCGTCAGCAGCGCCATAAAGTGTCCAATGCACTCGTCGCGCTTGTGATGCTCACGCTCCTTGTCCCGATCACGCAGATGTCCAGCCAGTGTTCGATGCACCTCCTTCTCGCGTTCTCTGATGCTCTGTTCGGCCCGCAGCTTGCGTTCCCGATCCTTTTGCTTCTGTTCGGCTTCGCTTTCGCGCTGACGGGCCATTTCACTATCCTCGCTATCAGCCCGGTCCTCCGGATCAAAATCGTCGCAGTGTTCGCCCTCCTCCTGTAAATTTTGATTTTTGTTTTAGTTTTCTCCGAATCACTTTAATCTTAAATTATCGGTAATTACCGGTGATTCCAGCTTTTTGCGATCCGATTTGCTCTTTTCCCCCTTGTCTCTTGAGGATTTGCGCTCGCGATCCTTTGACCGACTGCGCTCCCTGCGACTCTCTTTGCGACCCTTTTCCTTCTCCTTATCCTTGTCCTTGTCTTTGTCCTTGTCTTTATCCCTATCTCGGCGATCAGATTTACGTTCGCGTTGTCGATCCCGATCCTTCTGGTCACGCAGCTCACGCTCTCGTCGCTTCTCTTCCTTCATGATGTGCAAGTAATCCTCGAAGAACTCCTCGCGATACATGGAATCTACAGCGCGATAGCGTGAATCCGATTCAAATTTCTTCTTGATGTCATACCAGCGTGTATGGCGCTCAATATCATGACGCTCCCGCAACATGTCCATAAAGTCCTTGCGTATCTAAGGATTCGAAAAAGGGAATTCAACATGACAGCCATGCGGAAGAGAAGAGAAATTGGTTGAACAAATGTATTAGTTACGTCTTTGGCAATGATGCGTATTTCACTTAAATCTTAGCTCCAACTTATTGCACTAACTTAACTTGCCTTAACAACTAGATATTCTTAAAACTTATAAACATAGTTACACGCTTTGCCTTGCTGTAAAAGAAGAGTTCGATTAGCGTTGTTTGAGACATAGCTGTAAGCAAAATGGTTGCGATTAGTTTTGGCCGTTTTATCCGTTTTAGAAGAGAATGTCTAGATCAGTCTAGGTCCAGGTCTGATTCGAGAAAACAGACTATAGCGGAAGGGAAACATCATGGCTCAATGAATATTGCTCGTCACTAATTACTTGTTTCCAAAAATGGTGTTTGTTTGGTTACTCCAAATTTATGTTACTGGTGTTAGCAAAAATGTAATAAGTCAGTTTTCAATAGCTTTGTGTTGATTTAACTATTTACAACCAATATTATTGGTGATGCTAATGGTTAAGCTAACGAAAAATTGTTGGTGCAGATAATTTGCAAACAAAATGTACTCAATATTGGAAAAGCGAGACGATCAGGTAGTTAGTTCTATTGTCTATGAAACCAAGAGTTTTGCACAGCTAAGTGAGTAATCAAAGGAATTTAGATTTTAAAAAAACTTTAAGTTCCAAAAAACAATTTACACATTTTGTGGTGCTAATTAAAAAATTGTTTTTAGCATTGATAAGATCAATAAATGACTTCATCTCGATGCGTGAGGGTAACTAATATTAATTTTAAACTAGTATGAAAGGCAAATGGGGATAAACTAGCATTAGCTATGAAAGATTTGTTGTTGTGGGATTTCAGTTGGCCGGGCCAGGGAATTAGCTTCAGCTGGGCCGAAGTGCACAATTCATAAAACTAAAGTAAACATACCAAATACATAAGATACAATATATAAAGAGACTGAGAGCATTTCAACGTTCTGTTGCCGTTGCCTGAAGCTTGTGAGAGCAATGTGAGAAGAGAGAGACACAGAGAGAGAGAGAGAGAGAGAGAGAGAGAGAGAGAGTAGGTGAGTGAAAGTGATTCTTAAATGCAGTTCTCACCACATTGCTCTGCACAGGCTTACATTTGGGGTAATTTGTTGTGCTGTTGTGGACGCTGCCATTTACATAATTTTTTTTTTTTTTTGGTAATTGGTAGAACAAAAAGAAATATTTGTTTAATTAAATTATGCATTATTCATACTGTTTGCTCAGCCTCGAAGCCACCTGTACGCGTTTCGTTGTTGTTGTTGTTGCTGTTCTTGCTGAATGGCTGTTGCTGTTGCGTGCTCATTGATGAGTGGCTGCTTCCGCTTCCAATAACCCAATACAATTGATCATCTTCCCACATCAACATCACATCTCAATGCACAAATAACATCATCACCATCATTGACCATCATCTATCATCATCATCAACATCATTCCAAGGCGACACGTGCGACGCAGGGCGGGGCGGGAAGTGGAAATCACACCAACGATTATCAGGTAATTTTTAGATTTTTGCATACCATTTGATATTTAGTGATTGAGATTGTTTTTTTTTTTTTTGTATTGTTTTATTCCAAATTTGTTTCTTATTTGCAGAAAAACAAATTTTTTTGTTTGTAAATTTTTATTTTTGTTTTTGGTTTTGAACTCACCACACAGACAGATTGCAAGCGTGTGCGTGGTGAACTTGGTGAACTATCAACTTTCTTGGCCTGGAACGGGGACCATGACGACGACAACGATGACGACAGGAACAACGGCTGTGTGTGATTGATTTGGTGGTGTTTGCATTTGTTGTTGTGGGGTGCTGTTTTGTGCTGTAATCGGTTAGCTAGTAGTAGCTAAAAAATTTGGATCGTACCGAAACCACACAAATTGGCAATATCGATCGATTGCAATTGTCAACCGAACCGGTCAGGGGCAATCATTCAGATCAGGGGAGGATCGGTTCATGTTGTCATAATAATTAACAAAAATCAATAACATTATGTAAATACGTTTGTATACAAGTATTATGGTAAAGTCAATAACACATATAAAAATAGATATGGCATATATATGAAATATGGATATATACGTAAGTGGTCACTGGCCAGACATCCGGCCAGACAGACAGCCACACGCGACGCCAACACATACCTGCTCTTTCCTCAGCTGCTTATCCTCTTTCTCACGCCGACGCACCTCAACGATGAACTCATTGAACAAACTCTCCCGCTCGCGCACCTTCTCAATAGCCCGATACCGCTCCTCCTTCGCATTGCGCTGGCTAAACTCCGAAAATGAAGACCTACAATCCAATCACAAAGTAATCAAATTAAATATGATTTCTAAATGCATGCTCAAAGATTTGACAACCACTTACTTGCCGTGCAGCTTGGCTTCCTCCATGAGTTTGCGGAAATCGTCACGTTTCTGTCGCATCTTGTTGCGCTTCTCTTTGCGCTCCTCCTCGGCGCGATCCTTCACATACTTTTCAAATACCTGTTTGCGTTCCTTCGATGTGAGCAGTAAATAGCGCGGATCAAACACAATTTTGTGCAGCTCCTTTTCCCAGGTGCTAAATGCGGACACATCCTTTTCGCGCAGCATCTCCTTGAACTGGGTGACGCGTGTCTCCAGCGGCACCAAAGCGCGCTCCTTGGCCGCTCGCTGCTCAGCCTCCAGCACGGCATCCTCATTTTTCTTCGCCTTGGTAACTGTGGATGGCAACAACCATTACATATAGCTATAAATTTCAATCCGGATGCCCATGCTACTTACATGTGCGCACTCGCTTTGTGGGCACCTCCTCTACGCTTGACTCGGACTCGGTGCGAATTTTAATGACCTCATCCTCGTCATCTTCGGCATCCAATCGCTGCACCTCCGGCTGCTGTGGCTGCGTTTGCACCTGATTCAGCTTCTCCAGTGAGGCAGCATTCTCACCAAGTTTCTGATCTGCCTCAACGGATTTCTCCTCTGCCGTTTTAAGCTGCTCGGGTCGGTCATTGACCGCCTTGTCGACATCCTCACGATTCATCAGATCCTCGGGACGATCCCAGACAGAAGTGCGCGTCGAGGGATTGTAGAAGAAGACCCGAGCATCGCCTGTCCAGACCACACACCAGGGTGTGCCTGCAATCGGTGTGCTCGTCACGGGACGCGATTTGTCTGTTTGTTTCGCAGTGGCTGCTGCTGCCACCGCCTGTTTCTTTTGCTCCTCGTCCTTCTTGCGCTTCTCATCGGCCGCCTTCTTTGCCTCCTTCTCCATGGCGGCTGCCTGGGCCACTTTGTTGTTCTCGCTGTTCGCCTTCATGGCTGCCGCTGCAGCGGCAAACGCCATTTGCGGATCGAAACCGGGACCAGCACCAGGAGGCATATGCATCAACGGATTGGGCAGCAAATGGGGCGGCATGCCAGCCGGCATTCCGACTGGTGGTGCCTGTGGTGCGGCGCCCGAATGGGCGGCCATGCGTGCCGCCTCCATATCGCGCAGGGCCTGCGGTTTTTCCCACACACTCTCGCCGCGTGCCGCATGGAAATAGTAAGGTCGGCCATCGGGCGCTCGATGCTCAGACCATTCAGCTGCACGGGCAATCACCGCCGGATCTATGACGCCCGGCTTGATGATCAAATTCTTAGTGGGCTTATCCTGTGACACTGAAGGCGGCGCATGCATATGTTGCTGCTGCTGTGGCTGTTGTTGTTGTTGCCATGGCGGCACGCCAACGCCCCAGGGCCCGGCTTGTGCAGCGCCTGGAAAGCCGTATGCGGGCGGCGGCATACAGAACGGTGGCGGCTGACCAAAGCCCGGCGGTGGCTGCATACCAGGTGGCTGCTGAAACATCGGCGGCGGCTGTTGTCGCACATTCGGTGGCGGCTGACTGAGCAGCGGTGCCGCTGCATTCGGCGGTGGTTGATTCAATAGATGCGGCGGTGGCTGCGACGTCAAATGCGAATGTCCTGGCGCTGCAACCACAGCTCCTGCTGATGTCGCTGCTGGCACATTGGCACGATCGTTCGTTTCGGGCTTGCCAACTGCGTTCGACTGACGTTTGGCCAGCTCCTCGACCTCGACTTGTGTCATGATTTTGACATTTGGACCATCGGGTCGTGTCCAGGTTGTCTCACGCGTCACAGCATGATAATAATATGAACGTCCGTCTTCGGCTTTTGTTTCGACCCAAATTTCTGGCGGCTGTGCCACCCCATTGACACCCGATAGCGGTTGGGTGTTGGCCAAATGCTGAATCGCCACCGCCGCCTGCTGCTGTTGTTGTTGTGGCTGTTGCGGTTGCTGCTGCTTCATCTGCGTATGTTCGCCAATGGGACGACCGCTGAACGCATTGAACGGCTTCGACCTACAGGAATTCAAGAGTTGACGCATCATTGGGCATATCAGCTGAAAAAGATGCGTTGTGAAAGCACTTACCAATGCACATCGCTGGGCTGATTTTGATTCTCGCTAGCAATTGCCACTCCGTTGGGGCCGTCTTGACAACCGACCCCAGCGCCACCAGATTTGCCATTAATGCCCAGCGGCGATTGTGTTTTTGAGTCTTGCGGACTTGGACATGCTCTATCCGCATCCACGTTTTCTTCTAAACTTGTTTCCATTACACAATTACCACTCACTCTACGCTCTATTCAATTATCATTTACAAGAAGTCCCGAAAATTTTTTCCACAACTTTTTATTGCCGCTATCGATAATTATTCGTTTTCCGACTCTTTTCGTTATCAATTCTAGGTTGTTAGGTGGCAGCCTTTCAAATCGATTTATACCTCAAAACTCATTCTCCACTATTGTTTGTTTATAGTGGTAGCACAACATCGATTTACCACTAATCGATAGCTTCCGATAACAATCAATCAAGCAAATAGTTCCGTTTACAAAAATGAATAAACCAATAAAGAAGTACTTGTGTATTGTTTTTAACCAAACAATTTTTTATTTTCTTTTATCAAACTGCACAACACCAAATATAGTTGCGCAACCACACAATTGATTAAATTTAAAATTTAATAGTGGCATTGTAAGTCGGACCACCTCTAATATTCACTGACATCTCTATGTGCAGAAAGTTTGTCAACACAAAACTAAAGACAAGCACAAAGTCAATTTAGTTTTAATTGTCATAGCGTCTACAAAATTATGCCAACTGTTAACAGTAAGCATTTACACTATATTTAGATAATCTGAAGCCTCTCACATTAGCAATCAACAGTCAACGCAACAGTTGACCCTGTATCACGCTGGGATTGACAAACTTGCTATCGAAATTGACTTGTTTGTCAACAAACAAGTTTGTTTTGGTATCGTTTTGTTGCTTATTTAAAAAATGAATGTACTAATTGAAATTCACTCAGACTTCGAAAACGAAAAGGATGAAACAGTGGAAAAGAAAACGAGGCGCGATAGAAAAGTGGATACGAATTGGTCTGACGAAATGTGCCATAATTTAATTGATTTGGTGGAGTCAAAGTCAAATTTGTGGAACGCTTCAAACAACGATTACAAAAATCGTAAGAAACGAGAGAGCGCTTGGGGAGAAATCGCAGTAAAAATGAATCTTCCAAAGGATGAAGTTTCCAATAAATGGAATCTATTGCGCCAACAATTTCGTGTAAGTGAAATACATTATTAATGAAATAAAGAAAATTTAATTAAATATTAACTTAAATTTTGTTTTTTAAATTGTCAAATAGAATGCTTACAATAAAGTGAAGGAAAGTAAAAGTGGTCGGGCAACTGCTATTCGAATGCCTCCAAATCCTTTCTACAACGCATTATTGTTTCTTCAACCCATTCTAAGAAAGGAAACGGTCGCTCGGACACCAAATAATGTGAGTTTTCTTCAACAATCGACAATAAAATTTTGAAAACTTCCAGCAATTCTCACAAACATTCGAGATTATTTTTTGTATTAAAAATCTAAGAAGAGTTTGTTTATTTTAAATTGTTTTTTTTTTTTCATCATAGATAATGAGCAAAGAATCGGAATCGAGTGTATCACCGTTCACCACTAAATCTGAAGTTTTCCATTTTGATCAGAGCTATGATGATTCCGACCCATTATCATCGCATGAGCCGATTCAATCACCATCATCCAATTCAACTCCAACGCCGAAGCGACGTAAAGTTGCTAAAACTTATGTTCATAGTAGAGCAATGATAAAGCAAACAAGACACGAAGACGAGTTCGAGCTGTGGGGCAAATCCGTAGCTGCCACTTTACGTAATTATCCGGACGAGCATGCTGTGCGTATAGCTAAATCAAAAATGAACCAAGTTATGGCATCTCTCGAGGCTGGAGATCTGGACGGAATTCGGAATATTCCAACCAAATTTACAAAACGAATAAAACGCAGTTAAATATAGCTGGATATACACAACTTTTTTTTATTGGAGTGTATCTAAAGTATATAATTTTAAAGGTATTTTTAATGAAAATAATGTTTACTGATTTATGTTTTTTAAAGAGTTGTAACTGAAGGCGATTGTAGCTTAAAATAGTTATATCAGATAGATTATAATCATTACTTATTTAGTTCAAAATAAAATGAACATCAAATGTAACGTTCAAAAAGTGCCTGAAGGAGATGAATGTGATCAGTATGCTCATAATTATAACCCAGGAAGTGGTTTAGCTAAGTGGCTTACGCTTCTCCGCCAGCGACGAAATATATAAATACTAAATTAATGAAACTGTGAATATATCTGTTTATACATTTATATACATCTATTGAAATTTATTAAACTTAAAATTGAATTTAATCTCGCTTGTTAATTTTTAGCATTTAAAATGCAATATATACGCATGTTTACATAATTGTATTACAAACTATACAGTTTATTTATATTTTTCACTCATACATATGTTTCTTAAGATTCGCTTTACTTAATGGTGTATAATTTATTCCATTAGTGTATTAACATTACTATTATTGTATACAATTACTAAATGAAAGATTGAGAGATTTCACAGACATATATTAGGTATTACGCCATCAATTGCATCCATGCGTAATCGTCCTTCGCGCAAATGCTTGAGCAATGCATCTGCGCTTAGGTCATCTTCAGATGTAGATGCAGGTGCAACTACTGACTTGCAAAGCATTATGTGACGCTCGAAGCGCCAACGTGTTTTGAATGTCTTGCTGCAATATTGGCAGAAGAGGTCCACATCTTGATCAGAATGCGGACTTTCTCGTTTCTTAATTGCTCGTTGTGTGCACGGCTCCGATTTGATGAGTAACTGGGTCTTGTTCTTGCTTTGCAGCTCCTCCTGATGATTGTGCCGTATGTGATTGTACATCTTAGGCATGCTTGTCTTGGTCCGTTCGCATAGGCTGCATTTTAAATACGATTGATATGGCAGATGTTTGAAGCAATGCTTTTGCAGTTCGGACCGTTTGGTTGTGTGCAACGGCTCGTGGCATTGCAGGCAAATGCTTTGTCGATCTTTGATCTTAAAGCTATTCTCAATGAAGTGCTCGAAATTATGCTTCTTGAACACGTGCGTACGCCAAGCATCCATGGAGTCAATTTCCTTGCCGCACTTTGGACACAAAAACGAGATTAGTTTCATCAGGCCAATGGTGGAAAACTCTACATCTACATCCACATCACGCTCTGGTGTTGTTGACAAACGTCGACGCTTATGGGGCGTTTTCATTTCTGGATGTGTTTCTAACTCCGTTTTCATTTTCTTCTTGAGATTATGCACTTCTTCTTCGCCTAGCGCATCGATTTCAATAGTCACCACTTCCTTATTGGGTGCGGTACTTGCATCAATTGGATTTGTGTCCTTATCAGTGTCCTCAAGGCGCTCCTCAAAGAATTCCTGACACAGTGCCTCTAAATCGACTTCATACTGCATATCCTTTTCCTTACGTACAATGTCATCGTAAGCATCCAAGCAGCGATCTAGCGCCTGTTCGCTAGCATTCGGCTTGGCTTTGGCAGCGGGCACTGTTGTCGACGCAGACTCATCGGGATCTTCTGCCTGCAGATCAATGTCCATCAGTGCCTTTTGCAACAGATCATTGCGCTTTCCTGGCAGCTTTACACTTTTCGCATTCGCTGCCTTCTTTTCCTCCTGACTACGCTTCACATGCTTCAACTTTGCCTCATAGTTTTCGATCTCTTTCAAATGCGTCGACAATAGATGATCATTGAGCGCTCGCCGCCGTGGATAAGCCAACTGACAGTATACACATCGGTACGTTTCGCGACGATCCAGATGCATGAAATAATGGTACTGCAGCAAAGCAATAGTCTTGTGAGCATTCTCCACCCATTGGTGGCAAATCTGACACTCATGAAACTGCTCATCGATTTGACTGAAATTGAAATCAGTGTGAGTCTTTTTGAGGTAATCGTGCTTCTGCAAAACAAAAGTACAAATTGAGAAAAACATAACAGATCAATCATTAACAGGAACGTACTGTATTTAAGTGCTGTCGCCACTCGACTTGTGTGCGAAAGGCTTTACCACACTCGGGACATATGTAGATTATGTGCGCATCCAGACGAGCATTCAGTTTGTTTTGCTCATCGGTCAGTACGCTACTTCGCGGCATTCTTAGCGAAAATTATGGCCAAAGAGAAAAGCAAACAAATATTAATTGTAATACACCTAATATTTATGGAATTTGGCTAGTAAGGCTGAAAGTATCGGCGTCAGAGGATGTGAAAAATATCGATATATCGCTGCGTGAATTGCAAGCTCACTTTGGCTGATGAATGATTGAATCATATGTTATGCCTTGCCAGTCGAAAGCACCAATATATCGCTCAGCCGGCTAGCTATCGGCTCAGGGGTAGTTCGACCGCGATATATTGGGCGGCAAGTTAACAAAAAATTTGTATTCTTTTATAAATAAAAAAAAACAAAGATTTCCATCAAACCATCGCTGCTGTGTTGGCTGTGTGGATGTTGTACAGCCTGCGTGTCCCTCCCTTCCTAGTGATTCCTCTAAATTTCCTGGAGAAATTCCCTTTCACAATTATTCCTTTCTCGTTTGTTTCTTATGCCCTCATCTCACCCAATCACATTCATTTACCACCTCATGTTCATTTTTTTCAGACTATTTAATTTACAACTCATGAGATACATGCGACATCGTGATCCCTCACATTTTGTTGGCCAACACTAAATTCGCTTACATATATTTAACACAAGTTCACCTATCTACTTAATTTAAAGCTTACAAAATATTTATGATTTTTCTTTTCTTTTTTTATTTGGCTTCAAAAGTGCGCATCACTGAGTGACAAATGAGCATCACTATTGCATGGGTTAGGGCCGATCAGCTGTCTTTGGCTCACTCTGCCGCAGTTAGGCGGGAACAAACTCACAGGTGTTTTGATTTAATCCGAGATGTCTCCGGGACTCCGGGTTTCGACTTCTTGGTTCCTGAGTCCAGTTGTCCCTGGCGATTTTCTTCTTGATGGCGGCGATGGATAGTTCCGACTGTTGCTGCAGCCGATTTGTATGTTATTTTTTTTTATTTTTATTTATTATTTTTCTTTTGCTCTATATTTATTTATTTTACATTATTTTATTTTATATATAATTACTTAATAATTTATTCACAATTAATTTATTTGAATTTCTTTTTAAATAACTATTTTTGCAGCGCATACGCATGCCGTCTCTCTTTCTCTCTTTTTTTTTTTTTCTTTCTCCTTTTTTCTTCCCTATTTTTCTAAAGATGGTCTCCCATCGATATCCCTCGCCTATCGATCTATCTGCCGACAATAACACATATTATGAGATCCTTAAATTTAAATTCACGGATTATTATATGGGAAAATTAATTGAAATTGAATGCAAGAACACATTATTTTGAAACGTGTAATGGCAAAACGCCAATTTTTGTTAGTTATTAATTTCAAATATTCACAGTAAACAGTAAATATCGATACATACAACAATTTCAAATATTACAAAATGGTAAATTCAGTTTGTTAGTATCGATACACAGATACGACATTCACTTTAAACTTATCGGCCGGGCAGCAATTTCATTTACAGAAGAGAATCAGTCAAATTAATATCAATTTCACAAATTTAGCATGTCAAGTGCTAGAAAATCGTCGGTAAGTGCACTGATAAGTTGATTTTGCTCGACAACTTTTCACATCGAACTCAATTTCATGCCAATCCCAGTCGAGCAGCAGTGGAAGTGCTAGTACCACGTCCGCAAATGCAATAGGGTCGAGCTCCGCATCACCATCGAGTAGCGGCAATGTGCAGGAGTTTAAGATTCGTGTGCCCAAGATGCGCAAGAAGCACCATGTGATGCGATTCAATGCCACGCTTAACGTAGATTTCGCACAGTGGCGCAATGTCAAATTGGAACGTGAGAACAACATGAAAGAGTTCCGCGGCTTCGACGAGGATCAGCCGAAATTTGGTGCTGGCTCCGAATACAATCGTGACCAGCGTGAGGAGGCTCGCCGTAAGAAATTTGGCATAATTGCGCGCAAATACAGACCAGAAGCTCAGCCGTGGATACTGAAAGTCGGCGGCAAGACGGGAAAGAAATTCAAGGGCATACGAGAGGGTGGAGTTGGTGAAAACGCCGCCTTCTATGTGTTCACACATGCCCCAGATGGTGCCATTGAGGCTTATCCGCTTACCGAGTGGTACAACTTCCAGCCCATTCAGCGCTACAAGTCGCTTTCGGCGGAGGAGGCCGAACAAGAATTTGGACGCCGCAAAAAGGTGTTGAATTACTTTTCACTTATGTTGCGCAAGCGGCTGCGCGGCGACGAGGAGGAGGAACAGGATCCTGAGGAGGTCAAACTTTTGAAGGCCGCCACCAAAAAGTCGAAGGAGTTGAAAATCACCGATATGGATGAGTGGATTGACTCGGAGGACGAATCTGAATCCGAGGATGAAGAGGAAAAGAAGAAGAAGGAGCAGGAGGACAGCGACGATGGAACTGGTAAGAAGGGTAAGGGTAAAAAGGGTGTGGACAAAAAGAAGAAAAAACGCGATGTGGACGATGAGGCGTTCGAGGAGTCTGACGATGGTGACGAGGAGGGTCGCGAAATGGACTACGATACCAGCTCCAGTGAAGAGTAAGTTGCAAGCAAACATAATTTTCAATATGGATTTATCATATATGTTTCAAGTTTGACTCTGAGCGTTGTTCATCTTGATGTTGAAATAACAATATTAATTCCACTTCAACTTGTTACAGTGAACCCGATCCAGAATCCAAGATGGTAAAGGATATGAAAGGTGTGGCTGAAGAGGATGCATTGCGTAAATTGCTCACTTCCGATGAGGAGGAAGATGAAGAAAAGAAATCGGATGAATCAGATAAGGATGAGGGCGATGAGAAAAAGAAGAAGGAGAAGAATAAAGATGAGGCCACCAAGGACAAGAAGAAAAAGAAGCAATCGAAAGACGATAAGAAATCAAAAACAAATGGCAGCGATTCATCAACGGATCTCAGTTCAGACAGCACTGATAGCGAAGACGATCTAAGCAATGGACCGTCCAAAAAGAAATCGACTGCCAACAAAGAGAAGGACAAGGATAAGGATAACAAGGCCATCGCAAGTGGCAGCAATTCAAATAAATCACGCTCGGCCACGCCAACTCTGATGAATGACGCGAGCAAACGCAAAATGAACAGCTTGCCAAGCGATCTCACTGGCTCGGACACCAGCAACAGTCCCAGTAGCACGCCAGCCAAGCGTCCCAAGAGCGAGCTGAGCAACTCGTTGCCATCGTCATTTGCCGGCGTTGTCAGCAACAAAGTGGAGTACGTATTGCATTGCAAATTGCGCTACTCGGAGTTTTGTTTTTTCTTTTTTTATGTGTTTGCATATATTTTTGCAGAGATTATGGGATCACTGAGGAGGCAGTGCGTCGCTATCTGAAGCGCAAGCCTTTGACAGCCACTGAGTTGCTGACCAAGTTCAAAAACAAAAAGACGGGCGTGTCGAGCGATCGCCTCGTTGAGACCATGACCAAGATACTGAAGAAAATCAATCCTGTCAAGCATACCATACAGGGGAAAATGTATTTATGGATTAAATGATTATATCGGCAGCAGTTTAAGCTGCTTGTATCAAATATCTTTTACTGCTAGCGGATGAGCAGAAATTTAACTTTAAATATTATCAATACTTATTAAAATTGAATTTTACAATTCAATGTCATTGCCAGCATTCTTCATTCGGTCATTTATTATGTAGCTATCAATGGGTACCCGTAAAAGTTTTTCTTTGCCAAAAATTTAATTTATTACAACAATGGCGCCAAAATATGTGACCAGACGAAAAAATACAATACATATTATGTAGCTTCCTGAGAATTGAAGTAGTCGAACATCCAGAAAACATCGGCAATAATTCCGATAGATTTTGCAATACATATTATGTAGCTTCCTGAGAATTGAAGTAGTCGATTCACAAATACAGAAAATTAATGCAACACTACAAAAATAAAAATAGTCCGTACTAAATCTAGAATATATTCTCAGAAATTACAGAATATTTAATAATATTATCAGAAATTAAAAGATACTTAATAATACGATTTTTATACAATTGTAGAAAACGATGTTAATAATTGCTTTTAGTTGTTCAAAATAAATTTACATCATTTTTATTTGTCTTAAAAAAAGGAACTTGTATAAGCTGGGTATCGAGCTAAATATTATTGCATAATATTAACAGTTATCGAAATCATTTCGTAGAGAGGGAGTCCCCATAAGACACCAATCCACAAAATACACTGCGATTGGTTTGGATGTGAAGTCATCGGTATTAAAATGGTCACACTGAACACTGCGGGCACTGTGCTGACTTCTAATCCACAATACATCTTAAAAAAGAAAAGTTAAGGTCCTGCGAAATGTGTAATCAGCAATATTACAACAATATTCGAGCCATTTGTTAAGACTTGCTAGGGATGGTGCGTGTTGTGTGCGCTGAAATCATAATTAGTTGCAACGCAATTGCGATGGCGACGAGTGCGAGCAAAAGCGAATGAGAGAAAAAAGAGCGAGTATTACAAAGAAAAAATAATACTATAACAGCGACTAGTAAAAGCAAGCAGCTAAATTCATTAGAGTTGTCACAAGAAACAACAAATACAAGTGAGTAGCAGCAGTGCCAATTGTAACGATTGTAAAACTTCAGTATCAGCTGCTTTCTTGGTTAAATTAAATCACACACCAAAACAGACACACACCCACGCATACATTCACACTCACTCATAAGCATGTACGTACATCTGAAAGCATAACAAAAGCATACGCAGTTGGAATTAAGCACTTCTGATCATTTTTTTTTAAAAATTGTTTATGCTTTTTACCTGTTGGTGCAGTTTTGTCGCTGCACGGTCCTGTACGGTGAAAACCTTGACGACAATACTTGTACGTGTGTAAAGTTCAAGGCAGTGTTTGCGTACAAGTGAGTGTGGGTGTGTGTGTGTGTGTATACAGTGGGTGTTGCTGCCTTAATCGTGTTGGTGTGCGTAAGGTGGTTTCAGTGCTGTTTGTTTTGACATGTCCAGCAGATTAGGGGTAAAGGGACAACCAAATTATATGCTTTCAAATGTGACCAGGTTTTATTTATGTTATTATAGCAGCGATTCTGAAGCCAAAAAAGAGTGATAAGAAAATAACGTCAGGCTAGGATAAGCTGCCAGCAACATATATATTAATTACTTGCTGAACTATTTTTTAAACTAACACGAAGTTACTCATGTATTTATTCGTGTATTTCTGCACCGATTGTATTGCGCTATTTGTGCATACAATAACTACAAAGTCACGTTGTCATCAATATTACATTTGTGTAGGTTCGATGTGTTAATTACATGTGAAATTCTTTATTTAATTATACATTTAATACACAAATTAGTGTCACTTTTATGTATGCGAAATTTATTATCAGTTGCGATTTTGATTTGAAATACAATTTTCCTAAATTTACTTTGGGGGTCCGTCCAAATCGGTCAATTAATAGTTTCGTTCTGAACCTTATCTTTTGACTGGCGATGATTCATTTAATTTTGCCGGTTGACCAAAGCACTTCACTTCTGCTGTTGTTTATTTGCAAAGAATTTCATTTGCAGACGTAATGGGAATTTGTGGCAAGATTTCAATTGATACAAATTAAGCTCAATCATAATAATGCTTCGAGTCGAGTTATCTATTAAAGTCGCTGCATAGAATTAAAATATCGCTCAATGTGCCAGCACTAAGGATTTGTAAACAAACATCAAAACAGCTGAGTGCCGGCCACGGGACAAAAGGAAAAAAGCGTAGGAAAAGAAAACAAAATATTTAATGCACACAAACAGAAAAAAAAACACACAAGAACCGATTATCTTATCAGCAGGCAATGCCGTGGCTCTGGTTGACGTTGATGTTTTTGTTTGCATTGAGTTCAGTTTGTCTTTAATGGACTTTCGTTTACAGGCCAGCACAAGCAAATAAAACGAAATAAAACACAGTCAGAGTCAGGCCCATATCCGCCCAGATGAGAAATGCGAATACTGCAAATGGTAACAATTACAAGCAGCAGCAGACGACGCAGCAACAGCAACAGCAATCAACCAAATCAATAACAGCAAATCGACAACTATTTAACAACTGCTCGCAGCAGCAGGAGCAGCAGCAGCAGCAGCAACGCTTTTTGGCTTGAGCAGCAGTAATCGCAGGAGTCGCAGCAGCATGGCTTGGATGCGTTGTCCCACTCTGGAGCTGGCTCTGCTTGGGCTCTGTTTGATATGCCATCAGGAAGTCGTTGCTGGCCATGTCCTCGTCTACAAACGAAATACGTCACAGGCAAGTTGATTTTAATTCCGGTCTCTGATTGTTTTTTAATGCCAATCTTTGCATCACAGCTGATTGAGGAGTTCAATGATTTGCCTTCAACATTCGGACCTTCGATCGTTGGCAATAATCTTCGGGTTTTTGCTGTGCCGCCGGAGCCGAAATATGCATTTGGTTGTGATTATTTAAATTTGCCACCACGCAACAGTGACTATCCCACTGGAGCCAAGTTTGTGGCGATTGTGTCTCGGTAAGCGAACTTCTAGCATTCAAAGCTAATCAAAAATCCAAATAAATATGATTATACATATATTTATATTCTTCTTTTGCTTGCACAGCGGCGGCGATTGCACATTTGAGCGCAAGGTGCGCGTGGCCCAGAATGCAACGTATTTTGCTGTGATCATCTACAACAATGAAGGCGACGAGCTAGGTATGATCTGCACTATTCATATTATTAGCTATTAGCAAGCAGAGACTGCAAGAATAGACTATAGACAAACAAAATTGTAAAGATACCATATCGTTTATAGCTATCCCTTATCTAGTTTATATCTATTAATCAGAGGCCTTGAATTAGTTACTATTTGTTGTTTTCGTTATAGTCAAAAGAGGGGATTTCTACACGAAAGTAGTTCAAATTATTTTGAAAATTTTGCATTGGAAATCTATAAATAACATACATGAATTTCAAATCAATTTTCTGTAACTAATTTAATTTTCTTTAACAAAATACACTAAGCGGAAGAATAAACAATTTGATTATTTATATTTGCAGAACAAATGACCGCCAACAATGCCTCAGGCATATACATACCCTCCGTTTTTGTTGGCCAAACGACCGGCAAGACATTATTATCGTTCTCTACGCCAGGGTTGGTGCTAATCATCAACGACGAGCTGCCCTTCAATATCAACACACAATTGATATTGCCGTTTTCCATACTGATTGCATTGTGTTTTCTCGTTATGGTATGTCGGATAACTTAACTTGCATTGATTTTGTGTCTAACCCAAGCCAACAACTGTTTCTATGCTTTTGTTTAGATAGTCTATATGATATATAGATGCATAAGAGAACAGCGACGTTTGCGTCGCTATCGATTGCCCAAGAGTATGCTCAAGAAAATTCCAGTGCTGCGCTATACCAAAAATAATACGAGAATTAAGTATGAGACCTGCGTTATCTGTCTCGATGACTTTGTCGAGGACGATAAGCTGCGCGTATTGCCCTGTTCGCATCGTAAGTGGAATGTGTACAGTAAATATCGTAACAGTTTCATGAAATTAACAATGTATTCTCTCATTTGCAGCATATCACAGCCATTGCATTGATCCCTGGTTAACGGAAAACCGACGCGTCTGCCCCATATGCAAGCGGAAGGTTTTTTCGAAGGGCGAAATTCGTGCGAGTCGACTTCGACAGCCTTCTTTAGATATCGTCACCGATACTGATGATGATACTACACCACTATTGCAACAACAGCCAGAGGAGGCAGCTGCAGCTGCAGCAGCGGCCAACGCTAGTGGCAGCAACAGCGCCAGCATCAATTCTGCTTCCTCGGCTGCCGGCACAACAAGACACGGCACATTTCGACGTGGCGACACCGTGCGAAATTCCACAGCAGCGCAAGAATATCATAGCTCTGATGATGAAAATGGTGCGTATTGAAGATAATACCAAATAGATTGGCTCTTCTTTTGCTGACGGAACAAATGTTGAAGTCGAAGTCAGAAAAAACCTAGCAAAAGTTCAGCTCCTGTATAAATAACTTAAGAATAACTTCAGTATTTTCGCAGCTTACTTTTTTTTTTGTTTCCGCAATATCTTTATACCTCTTAATGGCACTTTACCCATTGCGCTTGATTAACAATTAAGGGGCGTTTCAATAATTACGTTGCACCATATTTATAGTCATATATTATAAATTTGTTTTATAATTCTTATCATTTCTATGTGTCTAAAACAGCGCTGCTGGAGTCTACCATAACTCAGGCTAATACATCGTCATCTTTCCAACGGCGTGTTAATCCATTTGATCGCTCACCAAATTTACCTGCGCATTTGGCAGATCAACTAAACCAACCACGGCGCTCACTTTGGTCGCGTATTATATCCAGGTGAGTTGTTTTTTCTTACTCATTGTAAGCTTTAATGCTGATAATTGTTTTTATTACTCCTTAGCTTCCCATTTCGTCGTGAGCCGGGTGGCATCAGCGTGGCAGCGCCACCTTATCTCGATCATGTGGTGTCGGGAACAAGCGAGGTGACTGTTCGTGGTGTGGCAGCGATTGACACAACTGCTGCTATGTCCACGCCTTCATCGAACAACATACTAAACCCGAATTTAAGCGGCTCCTTCAAGGATGATGACGATATGCCACCGCATCGTTCCATTTACGAACCGATTGCTATCAATACGCCTGCAACCGAGCTGGGAACGCCTTCAGGTGCTGTCGCTGCTTCGGACTCGGCGTTCCTACAGACTCCCACACAAGGAGGAATAGGAGTTGCAGCGCTGCCGCTTAGCGCCGACGATCGCCAGTTTCTCATATGAAGTAGAGGCGATTTAGTGAGTTTAGTTTTCTAGGCATAGTTTCCACCCACAGCAGGCAAAACCAACTAAAAGAAATCCAATTTTTAGGAATAGTAAAGTAGATGTCGCTTGGAAGCGGCAAATCTGTGGCTGCCCGCTGCTTTGTTTTAAACAATTAACAAATGTTTATCCTTAATATACATATGTAAATGTAATTGTCTTTGTAATCATCATCATCATGCATCATGCATCGTTGATCCTGGATGATTATGGTTTGCATTGCAAAAAAATTACATTCATACATACACACACACATACATAAATATGCGTATACAAATTGTGATTTATTTTATATACCTACTCTTAACCAAATTGGCTTGAATAACTAAAGTCGTACAACACACAAAACTAAAATAAAAAAGAAATTAACATTTATCACCGCATAAGATTGTTTACCTGTTTCGAATTCCATATTCGATTTATGTTGGTTTTTAACACACTCAACTCTACACTCCAAAATAAATAAAAAATAAAAACAAAACAGTAAAATCGCTTGCAAGGAAAATGTTCATACAAATAAGTCAATAAATAGAATTGATAATGTGTAATTATACTATTTGATAAACACTAGTTTTATTAAGCACTTGCAATTTGTTTTCAGGCGTGAATATAATTTGTATAATGTTACTGTATATTATGCTGGATTTATCTAATTTTAAGTTTGCTGTGTAATATATCCAAATTCATCCATTCGTTTTATTTTCTCTGTAAATGGCAGGAAATAATACTTTTAATAATAGCTGCATGCAGCGAAGCAGTTTTCAAAATTTGCTATTTGTTTTTCTACAAATAATACAAATAAAAAAACTGCAATTGATAAAAACCTTTCACAACAATAAATATAAAGATGTGTAAAACGAAATCAATTAAACATAAAGACATAACTTGTGTGTTTCAACGTGTAATCTAAAGTTAATTTACAATAAATTAAACATAATTGAATACAAAACAAGCGTCATAAATGTATTGATTGCTCTCCTTTGCAGATGGTCCACAACGTATGAATCCAATTCAAAATATTAGTAAAACTAAACTGGGGAAGGTCCTTAACTGTTAGGTAAACAGAAAATATAAATGACATACCGAAGTAAATAATTAATAAACACAAAATAACTCCTTGAATCCCTTCAAACTAAAATCGTGTTAAGTAAGCTTCAAATTGCGAATCAAGTTTATTGGAAAATATATCATGTTTAGCCAGGAGCCCATTAAGAACGTACACAAGTTGTTTAAGTAAAGTTGATTCATTACAGTAGCAAGTCACATATTAACATAAATAGTAAACATTTTAACATAAATAGCTATTTATTTAATCATTTTTATCTATTTTTTACAGCTGTTGAAATCATTTTTAATATACTTATTCCCTTGTACTTGTAAATGTAGGCTTTTTAATCGGTTTAGTTGACTTGTATAGGCCACAATAATAATTGCTACACTGTTGCTACAAATGCAATTTGAGAAACCAAAATGAAATGCAAATAAAGTTTTGGTTTTGTACAAATACAAACGATTTTAATGTATACGATAACTATAAATATAGTTCATATATAGTATTTAGATATACATAGTATTTTATAGTATTGAGTAATGCACAGAAACATGTCAGCATTGCAGTTATTAGACTAAACCTTTAGCAGAGCTTTTATATCGAATTTCGCTATATAGATGTATACATTAATGTATATTTATATGTGTATTTGAGTGTGAGTGTGTTTAGATGTGTGCGATATCGTTTTCAGTTTTGTTTGTTTGTACAACTTGTATGCATCTCGCAATTATGCGTGTATCTATATGTATATGTATAATGTATATGTGAGTCGTTAATGTGATGCGCGTTTTATCTTGTAACTAATTAAATGTTAAACTATTACGTTTGTGTATTTATAAGCTATATACAAAATATGCACTTTTCAACTTAATACTATTAACATTAAGAGTCTACGAATTTTTAACATGAGAGGCTCTTCACTTGACCACCAGCGACTGTTTGAGATGCCGCACCAGCCCGGCGCCTATATCCTGCACATCCGGCCACTGGCGTATCACAAAGATTATAAAACAAATCGTCAGAAATGTAGTCAGCACACGAACCCTACAATTACAAGAAAGTTAATTAGTATGATATAAATAATACTAACATATATGTATTGTAATCATTGTCATCTTTAATCACCTCGTTTTGAGAAAGGGCATTATGATGCCAGCAGCGGTGGCAACCAACAGCAGCACCACTTGCAATATCGTTAACACCACATTGATGAGTTTCACAACCAGGGCGCGAGCATTCGAGTTATCAATGCCCTCGACGGTGACATATTGCTGCTGTGACATGTGCTCCATTTTCGATATCTGTGCGGGTGGGTGCGTTTTCAACATTACATTAATTGTCGGCTTAATGTCTCTGTGTGTGTGTGTGTTTGAACTTACCCTTGTTTGACAATTCTCTAGCACCTCGTTGACGTCACGTAGTCTTTCATCGCTTTGGTATTGTACTTTCTCTTCCATGTCAGCAATTGTTTGCTTCAGATTCTCGATTTCATTCTGCAACAAAAGACACAAGTATAAGTACACACATATATATAAATATAATATATATATATATATATAGTTGGCAAACTGCCAAGCGCTACTCAACGAACCTGATGCAATTCCGTCAAGTCATTAATCTGCTCCTCCAGTCCCTCGGCCCGAAAGCGTTCGCCTTCGAGCGTGGAGGTCAAGTTGTTGAACTCCTTTTGGCTCGTCTGCAAATTTAATTAAATATAACGATTAAAAACTGTGCGCTAAATTGCTATTGCACGAGCAGATATATTTAACACCTCTTTTTAATATCACTTCAGTTTATCCTAGGCAAGCATAGTAATTGAAAATCATTTGCGTCCGTCATAATGATTTAAATTCTATGTATTAAATGGTATTTGGTAGTTTGAATAATGTTTTGAATTTGAAATCTCAGATTTCTCCTACACTCAAAAAACTCAAGATCTAAGATTAGACCAGCCAGTTGCGTATATAAATTTCGCAATCTTGGCTGGTCCCATATTCGCTAACTTTGATAAACTAAGTAAATAGTGGCTGCCCAAGATTGAAAATCGATTCCTGCCAAGCGCCGGGCAGAAGCAGAAGTGTTCCTTAAATACTCTTTCTCTCTTTACAGCTTCTGCAGAAGTCATTATACGGAACCTGAAGTCTATTGACATGGCATAGGTTACTGCAGAGCAGTTTGTGCGACTGAGATTATACAGCTCTCTACTGTGTTTTGTATTCATATTGGACCATTTTTGCTGAGCTATGGGACCGCAGTTTGCGCTTCGCAATTTATCATTAGTCCTGCGACTACTTTCTTCCTTGATATTGAGCTTGCTTGGTAGCTAGAGACATACATAAGCCATCCTTATCTGTGAGGAGGGGTAATAGAGTTCCTTTCCTAGGTAACTCATCAACTTTTCAGTTGCCTTCAATGTCCTGGTGAACAGAAACCCATATCAGGCTGATAACATGCTGCTTAGTCATCTCGTGCTCAGATTTGCGACAGTTTTTTACCGATATCGAATTCGACGCATTCAGTGCTAATAGATTTGATTGCCGCCTGTCTATTAATTGACATTGCCTGGGCTGACTTTGAGCCTCTTTGGGCTCCAGAAGAAGACTCCTTTTCAATCTGAAGTTTTTGGAGTAAGCAAATCTAATCGCAATTACCTCAAGGCGTTCGATTCGCTCCTTAAGCTTCTCGTTTTCGGCCTTGCGCTCGGCCAGTTCCGTTAACAGCGACTTGAGCACAATGTGGTACTGACTGGCACCGGACTGACTCTTTCCCGATCTACATTGAAGAGAGAGCCATATTACAGAGATGTTTCAAACACATTAAGATAGTTAGTGCTTCGAGCACTACTTACCCCGCTGGTATGCTTTCGCTGGTGACGCTGCTGCACTCGCTGCCGTTGTCGCTGTTGAATTTGCCCGTGCCGCTGCCACCACCGGTGTTGTTGTTGTTGTTGGTGCCACAGCCAGAGCCAGTTGAGTTGCCAATGCCAGGCAGCTGCGGCAACCGCTCACCAGCCGCTTGCAAAGCATCTGCATTTGCCTGCATGCCCTGCAGCTCGGCCTCGCTAATCTGATTTATGTTGTCCGCACTGCCAAATTTGTTCTTGATGAGATGCGCAAATTCGCGCGGCTTGGACATCACCGAACCGGAGAACCCAGTGATGCCGTCACGTATATTGCCGCCCACATTGCGGAGTCCCTGGCCAACGTCGCGCAACACTTCGCGCGGCTGCCGGTGCTGACTCTTCGTCTGATATTGATGATTCTGCAGATCCTTGGCCCTCTTCGTATAGTTGTCCAGTTTCTTTTGCAGCTGCGAGATGCTGTGTGCGCTCTTCTGGTTCTTCTTCTCGAACACCGCCTGCAAACAGACAACGCCCATTAAAATCCCTTTTTTGGTATTTGTGTTGATGTTTCAATCTTACCTTGATGCGCTGCAATTGTTGTTTGTCGGCGCTGGCAGCGAGTTTGAGATACTCGTTGACATTGTCTAAAAGGGTAAATAATCAAAAATGATTTCTGGTTTTAGATGCATACAAATCGAATACTGTTTATTTTATCAGCTTTCTCTGGTTTTCATGGAATAAATGCTGCTCTTAAAAGTATGCTATGCTAAACGGATTCGATTTGGTCTCGCACTACTCACCATCCCGGGCAGTCTGCTCCTGTCTGATGGACTCCTTGGTGCACTGTATCTTCGTGTTCAGGCGGTCGATGGCCTGCACACTGGAGCTGCGCTCGTGAGTGCGTCGATGATGCAGCTTCTTGCTGCCATCGAATTCATCGGAGACGATCGACAAGTAATAGTCCTCGTTGCCCGATAAACGTGAATCCTCCAGACCGCTGCCAGTGCCGGCGCTGCCACCGCCACCGCCGCCACCACCACCGCCAACGATACCGATGCCACCAACTCCACCACCAAAGTCCGTCATATCGCCACCGATGATGCCGCTGTAGGCGAGCAGACCGCCCTGATCGGAGCCATGTGTGCGTCGCTGACGTTCGCGACTGCGACGCCGGTGCGTGGGGCTGTGGCTGCGAAAGCCGCGCACCGCCACGCCCCCGCTGCTACCCAGGCTGCCGGTCACCGTGTTGCCGCCGCTATAGACAGCCGCCTGTGCAGCTGCCACTGTGCTGGACGAGGCCGACGAATTGCTATTGTTGGCTGTTGTCGACGTTGCTCCTGCTGACGCTGCTGCTGCTGCCGCTGCTCCTGCTGTTGTTGCTGTTGTCGTCGTGGTTGGCGTTGCTATTGCTGCTGGCGTTGAGTCGCCGATGCGCTCCCTGGACACTGATGAGTTGTGGCGCATAGAAAATATGTATGTACGTTTATTGTAGAGATTATGGCTAGACTCGCTTCAGGCTTTCAAGTTTGTCAAATTGATGGATGGATTGGATTGCGGGCGAGAGGAGCGAACGATAACAACAAAAACAATAATAATAATGAATAAAAAAAAGGAAAAGAAAAGAAAAACAACGAATGAGCACACACAAAGAAGGAATAATAATTCAACTCGCTGCTGTTGCTGCTGATTTGGTTGTTGTTGTTTTTGTTGTTGTTGCTGTTGTAGCTGATGTTGTTGTTATTATTATTATTATTGCTGTTGTTGTTGTTGCTGCAGCGCTTGTAAGCTTTTGTGGGTGCATTTGTGAGTGTTAATGACAGCTGAACAGGCAGAAAGAGAGAGAGAGAGAGAGAGAGAGAGAAAGAAAGAGAGACGTACATAGAGAGAAGTGAGAAAGCAGCAGCAACAAAAAGCCAGCGATTAAATAGCGTTTAAAATCGCGTCAAACTGTGCCTTGCCTTGCGCTGTGGGGAAAATAGACAATGTGAAAAATGCAAGCAATGCATGTGTGTGTAGGTATGTGTATGTGTAGATATGTGTGTGTGTGTGTGTGTCTGTTATGTGTATGCAATTGCTGTAAATATTTTCTCCGTTTGGAATACCTCAGTTTTGATATGTATGAGTGCTGTTGGATGTATGGATTGTTGCAGTCGTAGTTGTAGTTTGCGTAGTCAACGTTTATAAAGCTGTTGCGAAGACAGAAAAGAAAAATAGAAAGAGAAACGAAAACAAAAGGATAATCAAAACACACAAGTTATAAGCAAATGCAATAAACGATAAACGATAAGCGATAAGCAAAACACAAAAGTCAGTTATAAATACATTTCACCAACAAATAATCGAAACAATGAAAGCAAGCAAGAAACAAACAAAACAAAGTCAAGCAAAACAAACAAACAAACGGCAGATACATCCACAACATGGCAAAGAGGGCAAAGAGAGCGCTTAAAAGCACACAACACATATTTGCACTTGCCACGAGCTTTTAAGCCATTTGGCTGCAAGCATGCAAACAATATGTTTGGCTGCCATATCTCTAAAGTACTACACAAAACAAGATGAGGGTAAACATAAATAATAAATAAAATAGGGGAGCTTAAGTGCATTGCATGAAGGGAGACATTTGTAACATGGCATAATTGCCCAAGCATAGCTTTGTCTATAGTTAAAGCAATCTAGTAAAACAGGTTTTAAATTAAGACAACATAGGAATTATCAACATATTTCAACTTTTTAAGTACAAAAAGAGGCTGCTTAAATCGATGGATTAAAATGGGCGCGAAAGCAAACACAAATACTAAAAACTCGCTTATCATAAGCATTAGCAGTGGCTGCCAAGTCAAACAAGCGGAAGTGCTAAGTGAATAAGTCGCCGACATTGGTTATCATTCCTAGCAACATGGATGCCACAATTCACACACACACACACACGCACACACAGTGATAAGCCTCTGTTGATGAGCATATCGTCAGAATCCAATTATGTGCCAAGTGATTAAAGCTATTAGACTACATACAACACACACACGGAAACAGTATTATCAGTTATCAGTTATCAGTGGATAGATTATGTATAGCTATTTAAATTTAATATATATTGTGACATTTACTTTGCTCACTGCTTCTGGTGGCTGAGGGGGAACGGCTGAGCCGTAAATTGGAATTGGAACTGGAGCCGCGAGACGAGCGAAGCGACTGCAACGTTAGCTGATCCCGGCACGTGCTCGGACCACTGGTCACTGGCAACGAATCCATTATTGCATATTGCTGGCAATAACCTCGAGCAGTTGCCTCAATAGCTGCAATGACAGAAACAAAAATAAGAAACAAGAAACAAATGCGGTCATTATTATTAAATATTGTCTCTTTCAGCGATTGAGATTGTGCACAGTGCAAAAAGAACAATAACAACAGCAACAGCTCGCAGCAAGGCGAGTCCAAAGTCAAAAGGTGAATCAACTTAGCCCGCTGATAATCCCAATCACAATCATTCAAAAGTGGAGCAAATGCTCGCCCGCCCCGCTGCCAATTTGGCATACCAGGCAGCTGAGTATTTCATAATAATATTTCATACTGAAATAATTAAACAAATTTCAAATACTTCGCATATTTGTGCGCCTGCTGGCAAATTGAAAACGCCAAAAGAGTAACGAGGGCAGTTCTTAAAGTACATATTCTTTGCTCGCTTTTATGATACTCGTTACTCAATATGGAATAATTCTTTTATGCGAGTTCACCTTAAATGTTGTGTTTCTTATCCGTTCTTAACTAAATTTTGTAAAATAAACTTGATCTGTGTATGGATTACGAGAACTTATATCTACAATTCGAAGCCTCTAGCTTAACAACTTCTTTATACCCTTTTCTTATTTCTTTTTATTGAGTTCATTGTATAATAAACTAACTATTTTTAGCATAGATCTAAAAAAAGATTTTCATTATATATTCCACACTTTGAATTAATAGAATTAAGTATGTGTATATAATATGGACATGCGCCTAAGAAAAATCCACCAGGAAGAAGCATTTGTCATATAAATATATATATAACTGTCTGTATATATATATTATATATTTAGAGTGAGTAAGGCTGTTCGATCAATACTTAAACAATTGGCTGTCGTTAGTTGACGTACGGACGCTCAAGTGTCTGATGCCAGATATAAATACAATCTAAAAAAATGTACAAATATGCACCTGATAAGGTTGTTGTTCTTTTTGTTTATGTTCACGATAATGTGATTATGTACATATAGGAGGTATACATATATATAGAAATGTGTGCACCGGAATGAAGCCTTATTTAGAGCGACTCTCGCATTCAATTTCAATTCAAGTGCTGAGCGTTGCATGTCGATGCGATGTGTTGAGGATGAGGAAGCGATTGCGATGATGGCATACAAAGATAACAATTGTTTATAATTTACTATAAATATTTATATTACAACTTTGTTCACCTCCCCTCTCTCTCCTTGTTGCGTTGTGTGTGCTATAATTGTGGAGAAGCATATGCTGTGGTTCCCAATACTTGAGTGGGTCGACAGTATTGTGGGCGACCCGACCCTTTGAGGACTCCCCAAATGCCATAAAAGTACGCTCAATTTTCATTTTAAATTAAGCTGAAAATGTGTGCTTTTTCTATCCCAAGCGACCCTTCAAAGAAATCCAATATACCTTTCTGTTTATACAACTCATTTAGAGTTCTAAACAGACTCGAACTCATTAAAATACCTCAACTGCACAACGTGTATTGTGTTACCGAAAAATAATGAAAATAATTACTCTCGAGTTGGGCTAAAATTAAGTGTGACTTTGAAACAAAAGTGCAGAGGTTCAATTGCTGCCAATATCGGTCAGGTACAAGCAGTTGTGTAACTTGTATTCCTACGACTGATAAATGAATACAAATCATTCCTAAAATAGCTAAACAAAACAATTAAGAACGCAATTCGCAGGCAGCCTTGTCGACAACAAATAACAAAATAACTTTGATAAGGTTCATGCTCTGAGTTTCATCTATTTTTAAATGTTGCTTAAATTTAACACACGCTGATAAAATGCTTTTGTTCCAATTAGCCAAATCCATGTCTCTTTTGTACTCATAAACAGTTGACTTGTCGCAGAACCTACCTCACTCTGACTCACTCCAGGCTATCTCTCCAGCTATAACTATGCTGATGTTTGGTAATTTTCCATTTCAAGCGACTAATCCCATAAAGCTCTTTGACTTGGCACACATTTCAAAAAGTTTCTCTATTTTTACTTTGGCTGCACTTGCAACCCAAATGCTCATCTGCAGTTCACTGCGCCCCAAGCATTAAAGCCAACTCTCCCAAACCAACCACCGACCAGCAACTTCACTCAAAGCCAGCCAAGTCTTACAACGACTTACTCCCATTTTTCTTTTACCTCCATTTCTAATACCCCATGCAGAGCATATTATAAGTTTATAACGCATTGAAGCAGACGGAAGTGATTTCTCCAAGAATATATATATATATATATATATATATATATATATATTATGAGCATATATATAATTTATAGCTTGACTTCGCTGTGTAAGGGTATGTAAACTTCGTTCTTACTTTTTTTATTATTTATTTTTTTTGTTAAATTTAATCATCGCATTTTGTAACCTTTTTTTATGTTGCTTTGTTGTTATTCACCACTCGTCAAATTCGCTTTCTTCGTTGTTGTCTTGTTCAAACAGACGATCGTAAAGAAAATTGAAAAAGTGAATAAGCAGTGAGGGGGGCATTGGAGGGAAAAATAATAATCAAACAAATCTTAAAATGTGAGTATATAAAATTGTGTTATGTTAAGGTTATTGCACTCGGAGACACAGCACGAGCGGGGTGGTCTCGGCTTGAGGTGGGTTTGAGGTGTATGTGCCATTATCACGAGCTAATTAGATTTTGGTTGCGTGATAAGTGGACGTTGTCAGTTAGTCAGCGATTAGGTCAGCCTTGCATGCAGTGCACATGAACTCAGCGAACTAGTTATCAATTGAATGAACGCAACTTCCGCGTGTGTCTCAAGGCTGAAAGGCATTTCTTGTTTATCGTTGTGAATGAGCCATAGTTCAGACAGCGACAGAGATGATAATTTATGCTCAACAAATATATGCATTTAGTTATATATTCGTACTGCATAAGTACACATTGTATATATATATATATACATGTCTTGTTATGTACATGTGTCTGCGATCAGGTTGATTTGCATTTATTAGATTCAATTATGCGCAGTCACAGTCATTTGCTAATGAGTGTCGTCATCTTAGGGAGACTTGTTGCCCACATCTGGTTCTATGTCTACAGATTTGTATTTGCCTGTGTGTGTCTGTGTGTGTGTGTGTATAATACGTATAATAAGTACTCAGCCAACTTGCGGCGCCCGCAAAAATAACAAAAAAACAAAAACCATTTGTGAAGGTCGCGACGGGCGTCGCTGTGTCGACTGTGGCTAGTTTAAAAATACAAAAGCAGCACAGTAGCTGATTATAAGTAATGCATAGCAGATCTATCATTAGAATTACAAAGTGCTAATGCGTCGTAGACGACGGCGAGCCAGAGCAACCAACAGATTACTCTGCCAAACCTCAAAGATGCAATTTTACTCAGTCTCCGACTTAGTCCGCAGAAAGTGTACGCAACTCGGAAATAATCAAGCTACAGTCGAGAAAGCTCGACAAGGACACAAACTGAGCTCAGTCAAAAGAGTTCGAATAGAATAATCCAAATCATTGTATACGTTCATACAAGAATTGCTTTCGATTGCTTCCGTGTAATTTGTTAAATATAAATACATTATTTATATTTATATTTAAATATGATAAATATTATGTCAAGCCATATACACTACCATACAATAGGATGTATCTTTAAAATTTAAAACCGGTAATCGATTTTTATCAATATTGCGTAAAAAGAGTAAGTTATCGATGCAATTAAATAACCTTCCTCTGCGTATGGAACGACAACTTTCAGTCTTAAGAAAGATAAAGTCGCTAGTCTGTTTCGCTTCTTGATGCTTCTCATAAATATATACATAATTCAGTCTCTATCAAGACCTTGGTGTACCTGACTGAAGTAGTTCCAATCCACTGAACCCACTGCTGAGATCACCAATAGAGAGAAGAGGGCCGATTGAAATGATGAAAAACATTTTTCTAAATTGTGATCATTAGCAAAATATCTCTTTTTTTTATTACTAAATTTAGTTAGAAAGCACATAAATTGCGTCTAATAACACTTATGGCCAAAACTGACATGGAAATTAAGGTTGTGAGTATTAACTAACGTGAATAAAATTGATTGTTTTTGCTTTTGTAATTCGATTCGCCATGTGATGATGTGATGGTCGACCTATTTACATTAAGTATACACATAATTAACTTAAGCACTTGACTTATGTAAGAGATAATAGTACAACTTGCATCTCGCTGTGTTGGCCATAACAGTTAGCTAGGTCAAAACATTGAACTTGGCTGGCACGTAGATGGAGACGTTAAATTGCTTAGCCAGCTGCTTTATTCAAGACTCGTTTTGGATGCTTATGCAAAACAAAATGCAAACTTTGCGCAACAGAAGTTCAAGCGGTTGTAGCCATAATTGTTGATGTTATTTCAGCTTTAAAAAGTAACTTAAATGTTTGTTGTGCTTATTATTGCAGGTGTTGAAACCTAAACAGAACAAATTTCCATTAAGTTTGAGGTATATTAAAGCAAATTCTCATTATTAATATTTGAGCGATTTTACTCAATTGAAGGCAATTGAAAACACTTAATTCCCAACTTCAAATCAATTGAAACAGATCAAGCATGTAATGTAAATAAATTAAGTACACAAGCAGCACATAGGAAGTTCATCATTCGACAAGTAAGCACACAAATGAGTGTTAATTAAATGAGTAAAAGAATCAATTGAGTTCTCAACGATTATTATTTAAATATCAAATGACAAGCTCAAAATGAATGGGGCTTAATATCATATTCTATTCATAAATGAAAAATTTCTATTGACAAAATATATATTTAAAGTTATACTTCTCTATAAGGAAGTTACTCTCAAGTTTGAAATAATTCTATTTTCTTATTAGCTTTCAAAAATATAATTTCATAATTTATCGCAGTGGACTAAATGTGTTTAGTTTAATTTAAATATAATTAGCATGTCGTGACTTTTAAGCTTATTCTCACTCTTTTGTTATATGTTATTAATTAGTTGACTATTTTAGATGCGACATGTCGATTGGAGTAGGCGTGGCATAGGCTCTGTGGCAGGTGTCAAACGTG